CGATGCACGTATCGGTGCCCGCATCTCGGATCACTGATGATGGGACGGGTGGAGAGTGGTTCGAATCGAAGAGCACTGAGTGATTCAAGAATTTTACATCGCAAAGAAAGCCACGACATATAGGCTCTTTGCAGCGTCGAAGCTATAGAAATGATGTGGTGCTTTTGGATTCGAGCATTTTTCGTCCACCCCTAATCAATGTTAAGCGTGTCATAGTATAACGTGGAACGTGATTGAACCTGGCAGCCCGTGGCTTTGGCCTTTAGTCCGTCGTAGGATAAAACAAAGTATAAAGCACTATATAGCTCCTACGGAGCACAGTAGCGCAATCCTTTGATCCGCGTGTTTCGCCGACAATATAGCCGACAGAGCAGCTCGGCGCGAGTCACGTCATACTCGGGGTTCCAGGAGGCGGTTCGCCTATGGGAGAACACATAGAGATCGACGCAACGCGGCTGATTAAAAAATAAACGTTGAATTCACACTTTTCGAAACTAGTCTGTCGTGAAGCTGGTAAAACACTAAACACTTTATCAAAGTTTTCATAATATTGGATGTGTGTGAAGATTTTGAGAAGGCAATTTCCAAGGCAATGGCATTTGAAGCAGACCAGTTTTGTAAGCAGCGGAGATGGACTTTCTGGATTGGCCGGAGCAGGTCACATGAACCGTGCGACGTCGTCGCGTCGTCTACTGCATGATGCCGCTCAGGCAATTTTTAAAAAAATTACGTCCTTACGTGGCACACAATTTAGCGCAAATTATTCTAAATTGTTCCATTAATATGTCAAAAACTAACGTTGTTCCGAACATCCCCCCAATATTGAAGAAACAACAATTTTCTCGCGTTCACCACGCATTTTTGATTGGAGCTGGAACCTCCGGGCATCCGCCGCTAGTTGCCGAGAGATGGCTGCTCCGAAGGAGCTATATAGTGCTCTATAGATGACATGGTTGTGCGACTAACAGAGCATAGAGCGGCAGCAATGGCCCCGCGATCAGCTTGATTTAGGACATGCTCACGCAGAGCCGCTTTTCAAAGACATTTGCAAACCAGGTTAAACCTGGATTGATTCTGTTTTCATCTCAAAGAGCATACCAAGTAGAAAATACTGCAGTTTGTAAGGCAATTTTGTATGCAACTTCAATTATACCGGATCTGTTTCAATGTATGTGCGCCAGCACCAAACTATACTTTGTTTCACCTTATGATGGACTACAGAAGACACTACGAACCATGAGTGCCATGTGATCAGTCTAGGCTAGTATTATGATACTGCAACTTGTTACTTTTTTGGTAACTTTTAACTGTAACTATAATACATCTTTTTGAGGTAACTGTAACGATAACCTAAATACATTTCTGAAAAAGTATCTGCAAAGATACAGATGTTCTTCGCGAAAACAATTATCCCATTTTGTGAACACTACAGTGGATTTGAACAAGAACCAAACATTTTTTTCATCGGAACAAAGTGTTGGCACAGAAGGTAGACGTTCTTCTAGTTCTGTTTTTCCTTTTTCATCACATGGAGAAGTGCATTTAGTATTTGCTTTATTTCAACCTTTTCGTGCGTGGCTCTCTCGCCCCATCTTCATCCTTGCCGGCCTCATCGAACACCCCTGCCTCTTCAGCCAAACGACAGAACCACCTCGCGGAGACACGCGACGCGTAGGCACCTAACGTTGAACTGTTTAACGTCAAACGAGAGCCTCTGTCGTCGGTGCCGCAACAGTCATGGCTAGTTTCCTTTGCGAATGCGAGTCGCCGCCAGTAGAGACACTGTCTGATCGGCGTCACAAACTACGTTTCTACTGGTCGACTTGCCCTTTCCCAGGGGCTGTGAGCCCATGATCCACAGTCGATTCTTTTGTTCTGTGTTGCATAAAGACATTAAAAATAAAAGCGAAATGCATTCCGAGATGTTGTCTGCTGTCTTTGATCACTTCTCTCTTAGCATTGTTTGATACTAACGGACTTTTCCACTTATTCACTTCCGAATGGTTTAGCCTTCTGCTCCTCTCGCTGTTATTGTAATGTACCCGTCTGTTCATTGGTATCTCCCTCTCCTGTCACCTGAGAAAGAGGAATAAGAGAGCTCTTAAAGGAAGAGAAAAAGAATGTCATAAGAAAGAAGGGAAATAGTTAGATGGTAATTAACCGTTACAGCTCAAACGAGAGGCTGTCATGAGTGACGAACGGCAGGTGTTACTGTGGCCCGGCTGTGAACTGCACTAGGACCTTGTCGAATATACACTCCGTGCGACGCGACTGGCGCGCCGCCGCGCAGCCGGTACCGAAGGTAGGCAGTGAGCACCCCAGAGAAAACGAAACCGAAACCACACCGGCGTACGTTGGTACGCGTTGAAGTCGGAGTGGTGCTGTTGCGCTGGGTTCACAGCATGAAGTGCTGCCTGTGCTGCGTCATTAAGTGCTTCAATAGTTATGCGTCGTATCTCGTGGAGACAAAGTTTCACAGTTTTTCCCCTCGCCGATGTTTTGTGGGACAGCGACAACGATGGAGCCGTGCCGTACGACGCGAGAAATTTGGTGTCCCGATCATGTCTGCCACTGTGTCGGCACGGCTGACATATTCTACACTGCCGCTTTGCGCTCTGCGTTTGTTTTCGTACCAGTAACGCCTACATGTGTCAGCGCCGATGGGATGAACTGAAATGCCATCCCACACTCGCGGGTATGCAGTGCCGATTTCGTTGGAGGAATGCCCTCCGAAGAAGTTTCGTCCCCATCGTACGTGTCGATGATATTTCCGGACAAATATGGCACGCAATCTGTACTTCATGAAGAAAGATTTGAACGGTAAAAAAAGTGACAAATATAAATCTAAAGAAAACAACCATGAAACTCGGAATCACTGGAGAGTCGGCGTTTGAGTATGAAAGTTTATGTGGTGTGCTTTCTTTCTTGATAAGCCTCCTTTTGGATGTGGAAACACTGACACCCCGAGTTCTGTAGACAACAATTTTTTTTCTCGGCTTTAGAGGCACCTATCGCAAAGTGGTTCGAACTGGAAGTACCGCCCACTGGTCCTTTCCTACCTGTAAAGTGTGCACCTCCCACAATGAATGGTATTTTCTGACAGCCTTTGACGGTCAAAGCCAGTTCCCATTTAGTTACGCCGCCCAAACTAAATTTCCACCTGGTTTCGCTATGCCAACTCTTTTTGTTATAATAAGTGTTGTGCCAAGTGACGGTCATGTCAAAGTACCTGTGGGCCGAAAATCAGCACCTCACACAACAGGTTATTACACAACAGCTGACCGCAAAAGCCCTTGGCGGCCAAACCGTGTGTTGGCCGACAACTTCGTTTTCTCGGCTTTGGAACCACCTTTCGTAAAGTTTTTTCAATTGGAAGTAGTCCACTAGTCCCTTCCTACCTCTAAAGACTCCACCTCCCCCGACCAGTGGTATTCTCTTGACAGCCTTTTCATGGTCAAAACCGGTTCCCATTGAGTTACGCCGCCCAAACCAAATTTTCACCTGGTTTCCCTGTGCCACCTTTTTTTTTTCTGTATAATAAGTGCTGTGTCATGTTACTGTCAAGTCCAAGCACCTGTGTGCCCAAATCTGCACTATGCACAGCCCGCTATAACGCAACATTTTGGGTCCAATATTGGATATACCGTACAGCTTTATTTCTTCATTCGTTAGAAACAACTTTCACACCTGCTGTCTTAATGAAACTTGTCACACTTCGTGCAGAAACTTAGTGGACATCTCACTCGCCTCCAATATCATCGTTCCAGCAGTCCTACGTTTACAGCGACGAGCGAAATAAATTTCCCACTCAAAGCAATTATGGTGGCGGCCGTCTTGCTTTTCGGAAAATTGCTCCAACTCCTTTTTTGGCCGCAACTAGAGAAATTCCCCCGAATAACGACTAAAACTCAATATATAAGAAGAGGAGAACAGCTAAATGCCCTTCTTAGGTCTGCCCCAGCATTCATGCAACGTCACCCTCAACGTATCGGCTCAAAAAGCAAAAGTTTCGTCCGTGCGCGCTTCCGCCGCCACAGCTTGGCATGCGAAAAGGCGCCGCAGGCTGCTGAACGCGACTCACGGTCGAACGCCAGCTCCTCCGCTAGCGGCGCTGCGCGCGTTTTTCAAAGCGCCCCCTATAGTTCCCGCACGGAGTGTATAGTGGCGAAAACTTCACTGCTCGCTGCAAAGAGTGCAAAAATATATCCGCAGCCGGGGGGTCCTCTTTCTCCAACCTTCTCAAGCACCTTGGGGTGAGCTTCGACTTTCATTTCTGAACACTACCGCCAGGCATGGAATCGGGGCGATGGAAGGCTGAAACCTTGACAACGCTCTCCAGCCTCCACGGATTTCCCACCGCTGAGAAAGTTTTCTTACATCTGAATACTGCACTGCCGTCCAGCGCACCCGTTGAGCGCATCTTTAGCAAGGGGTGGGATGTGTTGGGCATCAAAAGTGGAAAGTTAAGTGATATTTGAAAAGCAGTTGCCGCTGCATTACAACATGAACTGAATAATTTATTATTTAGTCCATCCTGTATCGAAGCAGCAAACGCTTTGATTCAATTAAGTCGTAGGATGATAATAATATATATCTCAAAAAGTGAAATAAAATCTTTCTGCGAGTTCCAAAGAAAATTTGAATTGTAGTCAGCGCATGTTGTCATCAATGTCTTCATTCGCTATTTTGAAAAGTAAACAAAGGTTCGTTGAAATTAACTAAGTTGACGAAGTAACTCTAACTGTAACACATTACTTTTATTTTTAAGCAACTGTAACTGTAACCTAAATATATTTTTGACAAACTATCTGTAACTGTAACTAATTACTTTTTCATGGTAACTTACCCAAGACTGCATGTGATCTTGTCAAGCAGTACTTTGCACAGATACTGATTGATTTGATTTTGCAAACACAACTAATTCTGAAATCAAATTAATGTCTCATACGGTATGCTGAGATTGTTCCATACTTTTTCTTTTTTATAGGATTGTTACGTACCTCATTTTTTCAATAGCCTCTTCAGCCTGAAACAGACGTTGACGCAGACTGGTGTATTCAGCTTGGCTGATGGTGACAGCATCTTTGTTGATATCACCTCCTGCTTCTAAGTCCTCCACATCTGTTAGGGAACACACACCCCACAAAGTATATAAAGCCTCAAGGCTTCCAAGGATATCTTGGGACAAATTCCAGTGGTCAATTGCCGGCGAGGCCTTGCCAGTGGCACCGGCGACCAAAAATGTGCCAGTGGTACACCATGTGGCCCTCTCCACCCCAACACCCAAATGCAAAACGCCCGCAACTGGTGTTTTTGTTCGCCTGGGTCGCGAATAACTGTTAACTTCTGCCTCAATTCGTCTATGGTACAATAAACACGCTGTATGTGTCAACAAAATAAATTCGGACTCTGATATGTGCATAAACACAAGCGGCTTCACAATATTTTTAAATATAAACATTACCACAGTCCACACACTTTACAGCATCTTAAATTATGAATTTAATGGAAGGGCAGATCAATAAATAGGTGTGGTGCTGCCTTCACATGCGTTAAATTTCACTATAATTTGTTTGGATTTCCGAGGAACTGTTGCCAATGAGGCTTGCCAGCGTCGCTTTTGGGTGGCGGAGAAAAGCTCACCGGAGAGTAGCTCACTGGAGAACAGCTCCATTGCAAAACCGGCAGAAAACGGAGAAAAGTTCGCCGGCCCCTGAGCGGACGCAAAAAAAAGCTCACAAAACCTTTTTTTTTTTTTTTTTTTAGCTTAGCGGATTGTTTGTCGCATGTGGCAGTTTAACCCGAATTTTTCCCTTCAATAAAAATAATTGTCCACTTTTTTGTAATATTCTTGAAGTTTATTTGGCATATTTACTAATTCCTCAGAAATTAGTAATCACATATTCTGTATATTAATGACGCCACAAGTATAAAATCAGAAGACGGGACACCCGTAAAAAAGACATTTTATTGACAGCTTGACAGTGTGCTGTCGGTAGCTCTGTCAGATAAAACGGTTCGCTTTTTGCAAGTTAAGTGTGTGAACCGTTTCCGCTCTAAAGATTGTGTGGTGCCTGATAGATGAGTAGGTGTTTGCTGGTGTAATCAGTGTCGGCTATGCTGTTTTCTTTGTTTTTTTCACTAATAAAACTTTAGTTGCGAGGACAGCTTCTTACTGTCGTGTTTTTTGTCTTCACTCTGTCTTCATCAATAGAGCAGTTTTCATCATGCATAACGTTTACCAACTTGTACAATTCACTACTTTGCACAAGACTAATTCTTATATAGGTCATGAGTAACAACAGTGACAGTGTGGAGCTTTGAAGGTCATGGGTGGCTCGCCATAAAAGGGCACTATCACACAAAGGCAACGTGTGGAAAAAACAGCATGAACGGCTAGAAAACGTGCATGTCCGTGGAAGAAAGAAACCTCAATATCCTACTGACCATTCTATCCTGTTTTCAAAGGTTAACAAACGCTTCAAAGAGAATTTCAAGCATGACGTTAATGCGCATGCACTTTTGAATTTTCTGCATTTAAAGTTCTGCTTTTTAGGTTTTAGGCAGACACTATTAGGTTTTTGAACTTCTTCCTGTTTTTCAAGTTCATAAAGTCTCCTGTTAGGCTTTTGTTGCCCAGAAAGTAAACCCCAGAAAACACTTGTCCGCTACGATTCATATGGGAGCAATATACCCAATAAGCTTAACAAAGATTACAAAAAAAGGACATTTTTTTTTACAAAAAACTGACGCATTTTAATTATAATAAATCAATGTATGTAACGCACATCAATTTATTATAATTAAAATTTGCATGATCCGACAACCTCCATATGAAAACAATAAAAATAATCTGTGAGCTTTTCTCCACATACACTCATTGCCAGTAAGCTCTTCGCATCCGCCAGTTTTGTGGTGAGCTTTTCTCCAGGATTCGTTGCTTTTCATACTCTGTTTTATTGTTATCGCCTTTATTTCCACTCTAGTCTCCTCCAATGCACCCCCCTCCCCTTCACCCCTTTAAACTGTAATGAATGTTCAAGCCTTCAGCTACATTGAACATGGTGAAATCGCGCACAAAGAGACGAGGACAAACGAGGAAGGAACACAGAACACAGAATGTTTGTCCTCGTCTCTTTGTGCGCGATTTCACCATGTTCAACGTTTACCAACTCGCCCAACTTACTACTCTTCTTCAGCTACATCACTATCCATACTTTATTTTGTTCTACATGGGTGTAATAACGTGTTATTTTGCCGCTGTAAAAAGAAATGCATGGAAAGTGATGCAGCGCATGTCCCAGAGCTAGCTAGACCTTGAGCAGACTGGACAAATTCTCTCAAAAATTTTGGCTTTATTGATTGATTATCTTTATCTTTACCGTTTTTGCTATCTTGCCTCGGAGCAAAAAAGGGTGTCTCAATAACTCCGTTTGCGACTCAAACCCGCTATTTCCCGCTTTCGGCAAGCTTTGTTTTGTTAGGTTCCCTTTCCTGATTCGGATGCGACGATACTGGATACAGTTCGGCAGACAAGCTGCCCAACCTCTTGGAGTTCAGGCGAAAATTGTGCCGGCAAATTGCCGGCTCGCGCATGAAAATCATTATCCGAACAGCTTGCACTTGCCAGCCTTTCACCACACAAACGTCCTTGCCAAAGATATAGCAAAAAGTTTTGCCGAGAAATGACCACCTGAATTTGCCGTTACTTTGGTTAATGTCTTCAGCCTATATAACATAAAACTATATTTCCCAGAAAAAAAAACTCCCTTCACATTGCAGTCACCACAATACAAAATGAAGAGAACATACTACAAAATTGTTGTAAATATGTGCCTCTAAACAGTGTCCTTATATGCACAAAAAGATAGGCAAGTAAATCTGAATTAACATTAATGAAAACAAAGTTTGCAACATTTAACAGCATCAGGTCATGCTAAATTGAGCTATTGCATTCTTTGGCTCAAACACCACTTGTTATGATATGTGTGTAGAGTTTCATTTTCCCAGAGATTGTGAGTTCAAGTACACATGCTGCCAGTTTTAATATCAAAGGACATTGTAGTGTAAATTTTTCCTGTGATTGCTACTGCAGGGTGCACATTGAAGACTCCAAGCTAGTGGCCATGCTGCACTGGACAAAATTCCCTTTCAGACACATGTCGTGCTTTGCAACATCCTTATGACCGGTTCCTACTGACTGGAAAAGGCGACGAAAGAGACGGGAACCACAGACAAGTAGAACACGACATGGTGCATCCGCAACTGAAGTTTATTAAAAAAACAAAAATAAGAGCCCTCTAGAATTAAAGTACCTACCATCAAATCCTTAGGTATGCACCACCCCAAAAGGTAACCCACCCCCATTTTTGGCTTGATTTGATATTTTTTTTAAACACCGAAAGATAGCTTGCTCCTAGTAATTGCAGTGTTCCAATCAATGAAGACCTTGGCGTAAATATGCTTAGTTAGCTATGGCGGGATATAAGCGAGTACAGTAATCTAAGCTTCATTGCCTTGCGCCGCGATAACATGTTTGACAGAGCAACATGAAATAAAAATCTCATTTTTGCAACTTTTCTTGATTGCACACTGAAAGTTAGCTCATTCTTCATTTTCACCCAATTTTCTCTTAATTTTAGGCTGGCTATCTCTCGGGGTATAACGGTAGTTGTGCCTTGTCTTGTTCGATTTGTCTATGGTCCCCGTCTGTTTCAACACCTTTTCCAATCAGCCATATGGGCCAAGTGGCCCATTTATCAACTCTGCAGGAGTCCATGCTTACTCTTTGACCAATAGCTCCCGCACCACAGAATATAGGCATGCAAAAAAGGAAAAGCCTGGACTTCTCTTACCGTACGTTAAGAGGAGGTCATCCGGCAACACTGGCTGGAGAAACTTGTCGTCCTGCCATGGAACATTGGAGGCGTCTATCCGCTGAAGACTTTCCACGGTTATGTCCTAGTGAAAAGAAATCGATGAAAGGACAGTGTCGGTCGCTCCACAGCACTCGGCAATGCTTTATCAACTATCATGTTTTCAATGCCAAGAGTCGACTGTGCAATGTGATACACGGATATGCTTATCTATGTTGAACTCCGACAAAAATTGACCAGTAAACATTTCTACAATTTAGGTTCATGCAAACTTCCCTGCTTTCTGGAAGTTATTCTCACAACTGTGCTGTAGGCTCCAAACTATCGTCTTCGGCCATTTTTGTTTCCTTTGTCTCAAGTTTCAAAACAAGCCGTTACTAAAGTTGTCTGGGATTCCTACGATGGTCAACTATATCCCCGGTTTTATGTGTGCATAGCCATGCCAGACATTGACATGCTCAAATGACAGCACCTCCAATAAAGTTGATAGCTGGGATAGTTGGTATTCACTGTGCATACCGAGGTAAAATAGCATAAACACAAATATGGGAAAAATGGGACAGGACAGAGCGCTAACTCACTCTGTCCTGTCCCGCTCTTCATATCTTTGTGTTTGCACTATTTGCTACGTTCTGTCGCACTCTTCCCATCTTTGTGCTTGCGCTATTTTACCTCAGTATGGACGGCACCTGTGCAATGAAGTGTGAATGTTGACCATTTACTTTCAAGTAAATGTGCCGGATGCTACTGGTGGGACTATTCCTTTTCACCTTTCTTTTGTGTATAAATACCCGCCATTCCATACATGGCTTGCCATATCACATCAGTTGCAATTGAGGCGGTCTTGTTGCAGGTGTTGGATGGACAGATGGTATTGGCTACCTCCTTTGTATCAGGCGGCTGCTTGTGCCACCTAGGCTAGGAACATTTACACCCCTTCCCTTTAAAGGGCAACTCCGCTCAATTCCAAAGAATTCGGGATAATGAGTGATTTCACATTAAAAAGCCCTCGTAAAAAACACTACGTAATTTGCTTCGTGAAAAATGGAATATAGATTTTTGAATCTAATTTTAAACACGAGCAGAAATCGAAACCGAAAATTCGGCTCTGTCCGGCAACTTTGGCCCCGGGCCGCCAAGAAAATGGCTATCATGTGGTACGAGATGTCACATGACCCTCTACGCAACAACAGGTGGGATTAGGATGGGCGTGTGCCATGTGCAAGTGTCGTCTGCCCCGTACTATACACCATCTCCCGATGTCTACAACATTCGACGACGTCTGCACACGTAGTCGCGGATGAGACAATAATCCCAAACGGTGAGACGATGGTGGCGGTAGCGGCGGGGCGGCCGCACAGCTCCCAAAAAGCGCACTGCGCAGGAACGTTATGCCAATCACAGGGACACTGCTGAGCACCGAGAGGAAATGTTGCTTACGTCGCTCCTTACGTTTGCCCGGAGAAATAAAAACAAGCAAAAGGGGCAACGGTGATGATGTGTAGCTCAATGTTGGCTACGCCCACGCCGTAGCCTTGACTGCGCTGTTGGTTGCACCTTGATTTGCCTGCTCAAGTCAGCCAATTTCGACATTTTGGCGAGTTGCAAAGTTTGCCGGACCGTTTAAGAAACATTTAGACAGAACTACTTCGTAATATTGGACGTGTGGTCTTCCTAGGTGATACTGAAGAGGACTGCATTGTTTTGTTCAACAAACAAAAATGAAGCAGAGTTGCCCTTCAAATGTTGTCACTTCAACTGTAAATTAATAGCAAGTCCATGGTTGATTATGCTGGTTGCACGAATTAATGCAACAAGCAAATAAAAACATGGAGTGCGCTTAAAAGGGTACTCTGGCGATTTTTTTTTTTTTTTTTGCTATTTCTATTAGCTACGTCTGCGAAATCGCCGGCCGTTACTCTTTCCGGCATGCTGTATTCAGTACAGCAAAATTCTAAATAGTCATTGTAAAATAAAAATGACGCCAAAACCAAGATTCAAATATGCCCGCACTTTTAAATGCCATGATGTGAAGTCAGGGGAAGGCAGGCTTGCAACAGGCCCACAGAACTTTCGCCTGGAGCCCCATGTTGCACATTCTGGACTCCCATGGCAACTATGGAGAAGGAAGTGACGTCAACAACGCAGCAAATGCAGATTGGATATTGACTGATCCCTGATCAATCAACATCCAATCTGAATTTTCGGCGTTGTTGACATCACTTCCTTCTCCATAGTCGCCGTGGGAGTCCAAAACATGCAACACAGGGCCCCAAATGTCACGTTTTCATTGTTGCCAGTAGAGCCTTTGGATCACTATTTCAACAATGTTTGTTTGTTGGTGTGTATAACAAATTTTCAGACAAATCGGGAACTACAAAGAAGACGCCGGAGTACCCCTTTAAACTTCGCCCCGTTCGCACCGCCTTCTCATTCGCTTCCCATGCTCTTGGGTCACACAACGACCTAGTTCTCATGACACAACACTCCTTTAACCCAGACACGTCCGTTCACAAATGCGTTGAGAACCACTGCAGAGTAACCATCAGGTAGCGGGTTCAGATCGTTCTTGTGCCAGAGGCGGCCGCATACAGAGCACAAGTAGGCAAAGAGATTTTGCATAAAGCGTTTCTCAAACACGTTTGTCGCACTAACGTGCTGGCCGAGCCTCTCGCGTGCTCGTTGCTCCGCCTCGGTTTGCCGTCTCAGCCGCTTCGCTTCGGCCTCCCTGGCTCGCATCTCCGGATCGCCCTGTCGCTGCAGTCGCCTCATTTCGGCTTCACGGGAACGCAGTTCGGCGTCTTCACTTCGTTTCAGTCGCTTGGCTTCGGCCTCCCTGGCTCGCATCTCCGGATCGCCCTGTCGCTGCAGTCGCCTCATTTCGGCTTCACGGGCACGCAGTTCGGCGTCCTCGATTCGTTTCAGTCGCTTGGCTTCGGCCTCCCTGGCTCGCATCTCCGGATCGCTCTGCCGCTGCAGTCGCCTCATTTCGGCTTCACGGGCACGCAGTTGGGCGTCCTCATTTCGCTTCTGACGCTTCGCTTCGTTGTCCGCTGCACAACACTCGGGATGTTCGGCCCGGTACTGCCGCTTGGCCACTGCCTCCATCGCACGATACTCGGGATGTTCAGCACGCTTCTGTCGCTTGATTGCTGCCTCCCTCGCACGATATTCCCAATCCAAGGCCCGCCTCCGCCGCTGCGCCTCTGCACGCCTAGCCTTCCTCTTCGCCTCCTCGGCTTCCGTTTTAGGTGGCCGACCCCGTTGCCGAGCAGGAGCAGCCGTAGATGCGGCGTCCACGCTCGATGACGGCATGATCGACATGAGTGGAGTATGGACGATGCCTTCCATGCCCGCGAATCGGCGCCGTGTCGGCGCTTACTGGACTCGAAATTTCGCACTCCACCGTTTACTCCAGTTTGTTGACACTACTCAGCAAGACGCGAAACACGCCTGGAAACCACCTTGCCTGGAAACGAGGTTATAGCAGTTTCAGGTTCGAACAACGGTCTCGAACGTTGGTCTCGAAGGTCTCGAACAACGTTGGTCTCGAACGAAGCGATTTACAGCGATGGATGGTAATGGCTATGCCCTTTGGGTGGATGGATGAATCCGGCTGAGCCCTTTAGATCGGGCGGTAGCTTACGCCACCTAGCCATTTTGTTTTACCGTTTCAGTTTAGAATATTTAAATGTGAAATCTATATTCACTCCGCACTGCAAAGAAAGTGAGGCTAAAAGCCCCCTTGCCATCAGTTAATAAGAAAATACCTAGTTTTCTCTCGCTTTCTGCCACCATTCACTTAATCTTTGCTCAGTAATCTCTAGTCTTGAAATCCACTCTCCCTTCGCTGTCTCTAAAACCCAATGACCTTATTAAATTTATGTTGTCTTCGGAAAGCATAGGGTGAAGCCCTTTACAGTAGAGTATCAAGTGCTCAGCCGTCTCGTCCTCCTCTCCACAAGCAGTGCACACTGTATCCATTTCCTGGTACTCGCTCAGTATGTTCTGGTTCGCAAAAGACCCGTCCTCGCCTCAAACAACAATGAGCTTCCCCTAGAATAATCATTAATGCTTTCTTTGGCAATAACTGTTTTGTTTAATCTATAGCTTTCCAGAGCCGTCTTTGCATTCCCTCTAGCCACCGATCTCTTTCTGTGGCCTTTACTTTCTTCTTAACTGAGACCTGCTCTTCCGTATCTCCACTATAGCTTAAAAACTTTCCTCTTGATTTCCTAGTGTGCTGTCTCCACTTTGTGTCTATACTCCTCATGTATAAATAGCTGAAAACCTTTCATGCCCATTGCTCCCCATCCATTTGCCTCAACCAATCCTCAAATTCTATCTTGCTCACCGCTTCTCTGCTCTCAAATGACGCCCATCCCGTGTCCCCTTGCACTCCCTGCATTTGGTGTTTTGCAATGTGCCCCCAAAGCCAGCCTACCTACTCCTACCATGTAACGGGCGGCAGCTTGCGCCACCTAGCCTAACATTTCGTCATCCTTTTTTTTTTTTTTTTTAACTTGTATGAATTTTGTTTTAACAGATTCTCCCCCTTGCCTGTACTTCAGCGTTGCCCGACCGCGTCCCTGTACGTCAGTGCTGCCCGACTGTGCTGGGCTGTGGGCAACGTTGGCTGTGGGTTTTCTCGTTGGTGGACTGTGGCTATGGGACACATTGATACTTTAGACCCCTGTTGTAAATGAAAATATCTCCAAACTGCAGTCTAAAAACACGATTTTCGTGTAAGTCTTGTCAAATTATGAGGCGCTGGAGGAAATTAGCCTTCTGCATTGATTAAACTCTTTTTGTTCACGTTCCAACCATTGAAAAACATGCGGGGAGGGCCTCAGCATGCACCTAGTATCGCCGCACCGCAATGTTCTTCTTCAACATAAAAACCGTAGGCTTTTATCACCATCACCATGGTAACGAACGTTGTTTTTCCGAACGCCGTCTGCTAGCCAAAGTTTAATAGTTTTGTAATGAGCAGCCGCAGACTGTCACTGCCAACATTACTCTATCAACTCAGTTGGCAAACTCCCACGGAGAGCGTGATCTTTTCTCATACCCTTCAGCCGGGCTAATGCTGTTCAAAGCACCAACCTTCTTGCTCACTGCGGCGCATCTACCAACAGCCGTTCAAAACACGGCAACAGCGAGCAAGAAGGATGACGCTTCAAACAGCATTTCCGAATCTTGTGGTTATCAGCGGAAACTGGCGTGTGTCAGCACGTGTCTTAGAAGAGATCCCACTCTCCATGGGAGTTTGCCAAGTGAGTCTATCGAGTAATGTTGGCAGTGACAGCCTGCGGCTGCTCAATACAAAACTATTAAACTTTGGTTAGCAGACGGCATTCAGAAAAATGTTGTTCGTTGCCATAGTGACGGCAATGAAAGCAGATGGCCTTTATGCTGCGCAAGAACACTGTGGCGCAGCGAAACGAGGTGCGTGCTGAGGCCCTCCTCGCATGCTGTTCAATGGGCATAACACAAACAAAAAGAATTTGAAATAAGTACTTAACGCTGAGGGATGATTTTCTCCAGCGCCTCATAATTTGACAAGCCTTACACAAAAAGCAATTTTTTTTTTTTTACATTTTGCGCACAGTTTTTTTTGTTGTTTTTTTCATCTGTAACATGGGTCTTAAAACTTTCGGGTACAGCAGCTTGCGTAGGCGCAATTCTGGACACTGGTACCGTCTAAATTCCTGCGTTTTTTTTTTTTTTTTTGTGTTCTATGGCGAATAGAATGTCTAGAGGCTTCTAAGAAAGCATTGTACTATTTCTGGGAAGAAAAACAAACAAATGAAAGCTACTTTTAGTGGGTTCATGCACCACAGAACAAGCGCAACTGGGATGTTTGTTTCATTTTATGTTGGTTTTCCTACGGCACCATACATACTGCCATGTCAATCTACAAAGGTCTTAACTGGTGAAAATATCTGAAACACCACAGGATAGCCGAACTGCATGGGTATTTCCTGCTCACAATATGAAATTCAACGAGCCTCATCAATCGAACAACATATATTGTACGTACCTCACAGTGCTGCGTTATCCTAACACGATATAAGAAAAAAACTCCAATAAAAGAGCATGTTCAATACACAGCGTCGACGACGGTCACTTCACGACGATTGGATGGAATCCGGCTTGTTTTGGGGCATGTTTCGAAGAGCGGTGCTTTTTTTACACAGCACCAAAGCAAATGAACGAACGCGTCTATTCCATCCCCATACCCGGACCCTACCAGCTATTTTTCGCCAAGACCGGGAAAATAGCTGGGAAGGCTTTTCAGAAATTATCTCTACGGAAATAATCCTCGAAGAACATTGAATGGCCTGCGTCGTGGGCTGCTTGACATTCACTCTCTTTATTTTTTTTTTTTTGCGAAGGCTGAGAAGGTTACGAGCCCTGCTATTCTCTGGCTCTCACGGTGGAAGTTGACACAAAACACGTAAGCATCCTGAACAGGCAAATAAAGTAAAAACTTTCAAGAAAAGCCGGCAAACTCTGAATGCGCAATGCAGGTGGGGAATCGCGCTGATCTGCTTTCCACAGCTCAGGCAGGTGGCAGAAATTTTTGGCTGATAGGGGTCGCTCGAGTCGCAAAATGGTGGCAGCCAGAGAGCTCTTTTTGCAAAGACCTATACGAACATGTTTTGTTTAAAACATCCTTTCAGCATAAAAAACAAATACAATTGTTGGTCTTCTTTAAAAAAGGCTCTTTGCAAACATTGAATTTGTGTATTTCTGGGTTTTCATTTAACAGCGCGAAAGTTGTATGTGTTTCAACACTAAAACAGACAAAAGCGTTTTCCAGTCTGTCAACAGCAAGCATGGCAGCCCCAAGCGTGTTGAGCAGCTTCAGGGAAAACATCAGAGGACTGGAGGAGATCCTGAGTAAGCATGTTATACAAGGGGAAAGGAGGCAAGCTGATCCTGAAGAACCATCATCCACTAACTGACCTCAGTGATCTACTGGATTTTCATGCATGTGCTAGGGCAATGATTAAAGTATTGGACAGAGCATGAAGGAATACTAAGGGAGCTCCAAAATAAATTCAGGAAAGGAAGGCGTCTAGAGGACCACCTGTTCGCAATCAAACAGATCATGGAGATTACCAGTCAAGAGCAAGGGCCATTGCACCTGGGCTTTTTAGACATCTCCAGGGCTTTCGACTTTGTTGACCATAAACTTCTTTGGATCAGTCTTCAAGAGCTTGGAATGCCAGTGGGGTGGAGGGACATACTGCAACAAATATAAAGACAATGGTGTTGCTGTACAGTGGGGTGATAGAGACCCGATCCGATTAAGACAACACGAGGTCACAGGCAGGGATGCCGACTCTCTCCACTATTGTTTATGTTGTATATTGCCTGGGCTGAAAGAGCACTGTAAGACAGTGGAGCAGGTTTCTGCATGAACTGTAGCGAGGAAGGGAGACAGGCGGCACAGAAAGTTCCTGCCTTAATCTATGCAGACGACATGTGCTTATGGCAGGGTCCCTCGAGGACCCTGAGGGACAACTTGACATTCGCGAAGAAGGGAAAACCAGGTTGGGATTGCCCTTCAACCCCAATAAGTCTGGTATCCTCAGGACGGATGTGGAGCCGCTGGATGTACAGGGACCAATGGATATTCCAACCGAACTTACACAGAGGGTGACAATCTAGGGCCAGGAGATCAAGCGGAAGAGCGAATACAGATATCTAGGGGTGACATTGCAGCCGGGACAACAGCACCTCAAGCCACCTGAGACCATGCTACAAGCAACGGCAAGCATACGCAAGGGCTACTTAAGTTGCTGGGGCGTGTGGAGTTTTAGTCGATATGAGACTGCGTGCGCTCTGGAAAATGGTGGCGGTTCCAGGGCTGACGTTTGCCAATGCTGTGCTCCACCTGTCAGCATGCACACAAGAGCACCTGGAAATAAGACAATGAGAAGTAGGTCGCCTGGCACTTAGAACACACTGAAACACAACAAATGAGTGTGTACAGGATGACATGGGCTGGTTATGCTTCAAGCCCGTGAGGCCACCAGCAAACTGATTTTCGAACGGCGCTTATGCGCGCTGCCAGAAGAAAGATGGGTGCGCCAAGTGTTCAAGTACATCCACCTACGAGGCATAAACACCTGGTGGGAAAAAAGGGTATGACAGCTGACGGAGCGGTATGAGGTATTACGAGTGCTGCTATGCAAAATTGCAACATCAGGGATGACCAAACAAGTCCGTGAACGTGTAGCAGAGACCGAAACCTACAGATAAGTTGCCGCGGCCTGCACACATACGTCTCTTGCCATCTACAGTGCAGAAAAAGGGACCACAGAACATGGGGATTTCTTTGACAACTTGCAAGGTGACGGCCTGCTGTGCGGAGCGGAGTGCTATGGACACACCACCTCAGGGCTGAGTACACGGCAGGGCTGGACACTACGTGTCAGCTATGCCGCCACCAAGAGGAAATAGCGCTTCATGTTGTAATGGAGTGCTACGAGCTGAGGCCACTAGTGCCACCTAGTATGACGGACTATGCCTTCGCACTGGGGCTGAGATTTGAATCCGGCACAAGAGGAACCAATGACATGCGGTTGCGACACACCAACCGTGCTGACGCCGATGACTGGTAGACAGTGTAATACAGGTCACAATACTCATGCCCTCAAAGCAGTGGAAACCACGGAACATAGGTTAGAGGATTGGAAGGAAAAAACAGTGAGAAGGGAGGGTTATCACGGCAATCGTGTTTAAACTTATCAGAAAGCTTTTTTTTTTTAATTAGGTGTTTTTGTGTGTGTGTGCGTTTTTTTTTATGTTACACCGATTGTGTCAGTTTTGTCTTTGTCCTCCTGGCAGCGCAGTTTAAAATCAATAGTGACATCACGGTTCAAGTAAGCGTTGTGTTTGTTTGTTTGTTTTTTAATTCCCGCGAGGTCATGGGGCAGTGATGTCATGACCCTACCGACCAATCAGGATTTTCGCGTCACGCCACCTACGCCGGCTTTTCTGCGACACGTGCTCCTTAACGCTGTCGCGTTAAAGTACGCTTCAAATCTCGGAAGTACGGTGCCATACCTTGCTACGGATGTAGTTGATCATCTTGATGAACGAGAAACAGTCCAAGCCAAGTTTGGCGACCAAGGACGAAATGCAGAAGTCGTGGTCCTCTGAACAGTGTTTGAAAACCAACTCCGGAGACTTGCAGAGCTTCGAGCAGAAAAGGCAGAGCGTTTCGGCAGACTCCGCCTCCATTTCTTCGGCAGAATCCCAGTCAGAGCCGTCGTCACGGTGTGAAGAACTACTGGCCATGACTAGCTGACACGAGCACGCCGGTTTGAAATTTCTGTGACAACACTTAAAACAAACACATATTTCAAGATCGCAATATCTAAAAGATATCAGAGTTCAAGAGTGTTGACCTTCGGCTTGATTTACGTAAATTCCAAGCGCACAGAAGAGCGTGACAAAACTCCAAGATGGCTTACGAATAAAAGTACAGTGTTCTAACCTAAGTCACGTTGTCAAGGCGCCATGTTTGAAGTTTTCAACCCCAATGGACGGCAACAAAGCATTTTGAGCAGCCAACAGAATCCAGTTTAAACTACATCGTCGTGGGCATAGAGGTCGTGGGCGTTTTTTTGCCTCTGGTTTTGCCGTTCTGCTCATCTTTCCTTTTAAGTCTAGGTTTCTTTAATCGGATTGTTATAAATTAAATTATTTTCCACACTTTATTTTTTTCGTCATCTGAATCGGCTTCGAAGTTCGAATAATTCGGATACGAAAACGGATTCAAAACTCGCAGCAATGAGTCAAGCCGCATCGGCCTCGACGTCATCACCATCTTCCACGTCAGTTTGCTGCCGTGCGTTGCGTCTGGTGCAAAAGTACAGTAAACATGGATTTGTTCCTCCCATTAATCGCCCTTCTAACGTTATCCCTGAGTGCGGTGGAGAGCATACGATTCACAGTCAAGCCCAACAGCAAGCGATGTCTAAAAGAAGAGGTGATGAAAGGAGTCCTCGTCTCTGGAGAGTACGATCTCTCTGATACACCCGGTCACAAAACTGACATCACTGTGAGTATTCCTCGTCATTTTTAACTCATCGACCCCACTCTGGTCGCGTAGCACGACCCCACCTTGCCTTCACCTCGCCTTGAAGCGAATTTAAGCTTTGGGGCTTCTTCCAGAGCCACGCTAGTTGGTCCGGCATGGACAGCTGCTAACCACGTTGGCCAGTGTTGCTGACCTTTTGCAAAGCCGGTCAATGGGACCAATGAGGCGAAAGCTGCAAATGAAATGGTTGTGGCCTCGGCTTGAAATCGGCGGGATCTATGCTTCTTTAAGTCTTTCTCTATCAAGTAAAGTGTTTGAGGTGTCTACGTGTTCCTGTTGTCCCCCGAGTAATCCCAGGCTTGGGTAGCCTTTACCACGTTTAAACCCCACCACCTCACTTGCATCCCTACATTTTTACTCCTGGGGGTATGTTTCTTTGCCCACGCTGTTTGTGCTCAGTCCATATGAATTTGAGTTGTAACTATACGGCTTGCTTGGTGAGTCATTTCTTACACTGGATGTATGTTAAGCTGGGATGTGCCCTTACAATGTTTATTTGAAGTAATACTACGAGCAATGAGCGGTAATATCTTCACACGTACTAGGTAACACCAAGTGCTCGTCATCGTCATAGTACTCATCCGAATTGATATTGCTGGGTTGACATTGTTTGGCCTGTCAGGTGATTGACCATTCTATGACGAAAATAATCCCCGGAGAAGGGGGACGAAGGACAAACACAAATCTCTAAACACAGCTAGTTGACTTGTGTGCGACCGAAAAAATCCACCTGCACCTGGTATCGAACCAATGGATCGCTCTACCAACTGAGCTAAAGAAGTTAGATGTCTGTAGAGCTGATGGGTTTTATCAGCTGCCACCAAGGTTGAACGGCCATATTGATAAGGTTACAGTGATAATACATTCAATTTAAAGGTGCAAGCGAGCTGTACAAAAATGATGAAAACAATTCTCCAGGGATTATTTTCGTCATTCTTGTCCAGCTCGCTTGCACCTTTGCATTAATTGCTTTATCTTCATGACCATTCTACCACTTGTGACCTTCAACTGTGCTGGCAGATTCCGAGTTTCAGCGCCCAGGAGGATGACATTTTTGTATGTAGGTAGTAGATTTTACAGTAGGCAGTAGATTCTGTTATCTTACCGGTGGGGACAGTTTTTGGTGGCCTGGCACATAGAGGCCAATGCACTGTTTACGAATAAGCCCTCGTTTGCCCACATGACATGGGGGCACTGCGCATGAGCAGAAATCAGATTTCTATGTAGTAGAGCGTCTGCGCACGCTCCATGTCAACAGGAGCGCAATTGCAGCGACGCTAAGTTGGGGCCTCATGTCGGTCGTTATGCCCATCAACAGAGATTTGGTAGAATATATAAAAAATAAAAAAAAAAATAAAGAAACTTAAATTCCACTGTAAACTTTCAAATATAAAAGCAAAACTTTTTTTTTTCTTTTCTGTCTTTTGGAGTGCTTTCTGCCATCACACTATGTCGCAACTGGCCAGTGTGGCGGCCAGTCATGACACTAAGCACAATATACTGAACGGCACGACTGCGATGAACATTGGCGGCAGGAACCGGCAACAAAACGTGATCATTGGTTCTGGCCACAAGTTGAGAAGTGTAGCGCTGCTCGCTTTACCTCTAGGCTTTCCGTAACAGCTATTGGATAGAGGAAAAGAATTAACCTACGCATTATGAGCATTTAGTAAATAGTATTTAGCAAAAGTGAAAAACTCCTTTTATAGTTTAATGGGAGTGACCATAAACAAATGTGCTCGCCGAAAGATTTTTTTTTAACCGAACAGGCGTGAAATGTTTAACACCTATTGTTCAATTTATTGCTCTCACATTTGTACTTCAGTTAATGCAAATGAGATGATAACAATCTCCTCCCCCTCTTTTTGCAATAGCTGCCTAGCACAGTTGCATCAAAAGTAAGGATGTTATGCCGTTTTGCATAACATGCCTCCAAACATTTTGGAAGTACGGCTTTTAGAGTACAGCTAAAACATCCTAAAAAATAGCTAACCGACTAGCATCAGCTCGCTCCCGAGAAACCAAATGTCAATTAACATCGCCAAATTTTAAGGGGGAAAAAATTGGCCGACCTTGACATTCCATCGCACATACTAAACTCAATGGCATTTTTAGCGAGCAGCACTTTATCTCCGAATTTAGCGGAAATATTTCCCCACTAGATTTTGCAGAAAATCATGCTGTCACGTCACATGACGCTGCGACGTCTAGCAACACTGCCGTCACTCACTCGACACCGTCATAATTCCTAAATTTAGCGGGCAAATTTAGCCGGCTTCATGCGACACCGTAACATCACGCGACCACATCACATGGTCTCAGGTCACGTGGCATCAGTTTTCCCATAGGAAAGACATTCCGGTGTCACGCAGTGGAACTAATACGAGCGAGCAAGGCTCATGGAAGGTTCCCACGCAAAGTCACCACCTTTCGAAAACGCGGAGGGTCGGGAGCAGACGTGTGAAAGTCTGAGCGTTTTTTTCCCTCGCAGGTGAAAGACACGAGCGGACACATCCTGTACACCAAGGAGGGCATCACCAAGGGCAAGTTTGCCTTTACGACGGATGCGTACGACGTGTTTGAGGTGTGCTTCATCACCAAGCTGCCCAGCGAGATGAAGGGCATGGATCGGGAGGTCATGCTCCTGCTCAAGCACGGCGTCGAAGCCAAGAACTACGACGGCCTTGCCGAGGTTGGCAAGCTCAAGCCTCTCGAGGTATGTCCTCTTCTCGCATCTTGTATCTAAGCAAATAGAAATCTTTTATAGTGCAGTACTTAGGCGCCCGTTTCCGGGTTGAGAGGCGCCACCGTAGCTGCGCGTTGCATTATGGGACATTTCCCCGCTAAAGTTAGCTAGGATATTGTTCCACTAAACTGAGCGGAAAATGTTTTCCATTAAGTTTAGCAGAAAATTTTCCCCGCAAACAATAAATGCTACCACTAAATTTAGCAGAAAATTTTTCCCGCAAAAAATAAATGCTACCACTAAATTTAGCAGAAAACTTTCCCGCTAAATTTAACAGACCTTGCTAAATTTAGGAAATAAATTTCCCCGCTTCATTTAGTGGGAAATTTTTTGCTAAATGGTAGGAGAGGGGGAGGAGGTGCATACCCTCCCCTCTTTCTCCTCAAGAGCTGCACTCTAATTTGGCATTGCAGAGAATTGTAAACGTCTTTCATTTTTTAGGTAGACGTACGTTTAAGGCTGGTTCACACACTTGCGACCATTTACGACCAAGTGGCTATAGACATATTGGGATCTCTTACGACAAAAACTGGTGCCAGTAATCAGGTGGCCATGGAACAGTTAGCACTTTCGTATATTTGCTTCTTTTTCACGCGTTATTCTTTGTTCCTTGGCTCAAAGAACTTTGATTAAAGTTATAAATAACCATTTCTCGTATATGGTACATACATTTGACCTCGCAAATTCCGCAAAGCCTTCACCCTGGTGAAATACAGTTCCAGGGTCACCTCATGGATGGCACCGGCGTGCTCTCCCGTCGTAAGAGATTTTGAGAAGGCGGTCCTAAGAAAGCGCAAGTTTACAAACAGGTTTTTAGACTCGGTCTCGGTGAATCTTTAGCGCAGTAATTTGCGTGCAATTGCAGCGCGGGACGTTAGAAGGACCCGTTTGGTGCGTCCTTACAGTGCGAAACGACCGGAAGCCGCATGAAGGCGCCAAGAAAAATGGCATCAGTCAAAGCAATATGTTTTTTTTGCAGTTGTTTTCGGCGTCGCTATTGTTTCGCCACTTTTGAATCTCCTAAAAAATGGGATTCATGTGTGGTAGGTTTTAGAAAGTGTCAGTTTTGAGAGAAGGACACACTTGATTCCATCTCTGTTTTCTTAAAAGGTTGTTAAAAAAAGCGCTTCTTTGAAGCGTGTGGACACAGCTACGTCCAAGTTGTTACCGAGATTTTAACGACTTGGAGGTCTGCCCCACAGAAGGGAGAAACCGACAACAGTCGTCTGACAAGGAGTCGCGTACAACACGAGAACGCACCGGCACCGTCTACCGGGCAGCCGTGGAATACTTTCAGTCTGCGTGTACATTTTTATAATTGTTTTGCACATTTTATTTTTCACCGCACTAAATAATTCTGGCAATGTTACGAGCGACCATTCCTCATCGATGGTGCATAGATTTGATCTTGCAAGTACGGCAAGACCTTCCGTCTAATTAAACGCAGATCTTAAGTGTTCCAGGGCATTTGAGAGGCGGCGCCAGCGTGGTCTCCGTCGCGAGCAATAGCGAGGGATTGCAATGCGCCCGAGCACGCTCAAACACAAATATTTGAACTAGCTTTTATTGGTTCATGCATGCAGCTCACTTCAGTCACCTTGCATTAATTGGCCTCAAGTTCCGGCGCATCCTTTTTAATGCAGAATGCGTTATACGGCCGGCACCTAACCATTTATGTTCCTAAATCGGGGACGGAAGTCGATAAGCCGACCGCCAGCTGAACGCCGACGAGGCGCTCGTCTCCTCGCCGACTGCACACTAGTGTTAGTCGAACGTCTTCTTCCAGTGCGTCTGAGTTACTCCCGGATGGGGGGGCATCATGTGTTGAGACATACGGCGGTGTTGCACTTTGTGAAACGAGTGCGTTCTGTGCTTCTCCAGGAAAAAACGTGAGAGCGACGGGAAAGTGGAAAAAAGAAGCGGACGTTACGCTAGACGTGCCCAGTGGGCACGTCTAGCGTAACGTCCGCTTCTTTTTTATACCCTACCCGGACGCTTCGCGTCAAACTACCCGGACGCATCGCGGCAAAGTGGGCACTGCCCACTTTGCCGCGATGCGTCCGGGTAGTTTGAGTGTTTGGTTGCCTTTTGCTGCGAGCTGCCACTTGGGCTCTGCTCGGTGCTGCTGCGTTCCAGTTGCACCGTTTTTTTCGCGTCCATCTACTGTGCCTCTCGCTCCAATGGGCTCCAAGAAAGTCCTACATTAACAAGTCCGATTCTGCGTTACCACTTTGCTTGCTACGCTCAAACCGCAAAGGGAGGGACCGTTAGTAGGAGCCTTTCAAGGGAATTTCATGCGGAGCTGGAGTACTTACAAAAAGCAACGAGTGCTTGCCGGAGGCCAGGCGTTCCAAAGAGACGTCGTTTTCATTTGACGGCAGCTGTAACCAAAATCCCAGACAAACTTTCCAAGGTCGTCTAAGAACTTCCCAAGGTCGTCTAAGAACTTCCCAAGGTCTAGTCACACGCCGTGCGGCTAGACCTTGAGAAGTTCTTAGCTGGTCCGAATAATTCTACTTTCATCACGGCGCGCCAAGGAGGCTCTTCGTAGACTGAGCACGGATCGGACCTGGTAGCGGAATGGAGAGCAGAAGCAAAAATGTGAAAATCCTTGCACCCACTCTCGGGAGGACGCGCAGAGACGACAATGCCACGCCGATGGCAAATTACGCAAACACCGAGACCGCTGCGACGTGCAATGGCAAAAATATGTTTTCCTGGGTGCAGATGAAGCTGCAGCAGCTGGAAGACCTGAGTGAGGCGGTGGTGAAAGACTTTGCCTACATGCGGCAACGGGAAGAGGAGATGCGGGACACGAACGAGTCGACCAACTCGCGGGTGCTCTACTTTTCCATCTTCTCCATGTGCTGCCTCCTGGGGCTGGCCACCTGGCAGGTGCTCTACCTCCGGCGCTTCTTCAAGGCCAAGAAGCTCATCGAGTAACTCCCCAGCCGCTCTAGTTTTTCCCCTGCCGCTTCCCTCACACTGCCTTGCCTTTTTCTCCCCAACCCTTGCTTGTTTTTTCTCTCGGGCCAAAAAAATGTTTCAGCTTCCCTGATTCTTCCCTCCAAGACCCTTTCCACCCCCGTTTAACCTCAAGACCACTTCCCAGACATTATTTGCACTTCCTTTGTTTTTCCCAGGCAGTTTTTCCCTTATCAAGATTTTCTCTCATCTCAAGTTTCCCCGAATCCCTATTACACGGAAGCCGTTTGTTTTTCGCTTTTTGTTAAATTTTCCTTTCCCTCACTATTTTTTTCTTTTACCAGCATAGATTCTTCTATGCTTTCCCCATTTTGTCTGTTGGAAGATCCCTAAATGTTTTGGTCTTTTTATTTTAGTGCTTGGAGCTTCCCTTTCTTGCTTCTGTAATTCCCCTAAAATAAGGAGACTGGTTTTGACAGTGCTATCACTTTCTTTCTATTGCTTTCGTTTTGGGGGACTCTTTTTCCCCTTATGACGTGACCCACGATGCTCTCCTATTGGCTGCCTGGACACATGCACAAAAACTTGTCTAAAAAAAGTATTCTGGTCGTGTTTTGGATAATTCTAGGAACGGGTGCTGCTTTTTTAGCATTGTGGGGAAAGTTGCAGTCGTTGCCACAGATGACTTTGCCATCGATCAGCATTTCTGAGAACTGTCCATTTTGAAATGCAGATCTAGTTTACACATATACGGAGGAGCTACAGACTTATGTCCAAGTAAGTTGAATTCTGAAAGGGGCCCTTTTTTTGTAATTTCACCGGGTTTATTGGGAGGCTGGAGTCGCAATAACTGAAGCTTGTCACCGCAAGCTCATGTCAAATCAAGAGTTTGCAACGGTAGATCACACGATCGCTGGACGGAGTAGGGCATAGTACCTTTCTCGGAGCCTACAAATACATGGCAGTTGTTTTTATTGCGCATGGATCAATGGCGTCGTTCTTTTAACGAAAAATCTGTCTAGTGCAAGTGTCAACATACGTCTGTGCACCGCACATTTATCTATCTTGGAAATGGTGGCTTTTCTAGTTCTCGATTGTCGTTGCGAACTCCGCCTGGAATCTGCGCCTGTTCAGAATCGTCTATCTGAGAAGCGTCGCAAATTGTACAGAAGGTTGTGTGTTTTTGATTGTCTCAATATTTTCGAGTAATAAAAAAAAGTTTTCTCCAGACCCCTGCAGCCTCAGCGCGACTGGGCTGAATGTTTTGCGTGCATACAAGAAATTTGGTCGACAGCTTCGTTTGTATTAATGAAAAGTCACCAGCTTAGTATCGTCGAGCGATGCGCATACATGTCTGAAACTCGTTGGGTTAATTTAAGTTCTTCCTAATGTATATACCGTAAAATACCACAGAAGCACCCACTTCAATCTGAGCACCTAGTATTCACATTTCCCAAACTTGGGTGTCTAGATTAGCCCAGTTTTCAGTGAAAATGTGGTGGGCACACACCCGGTATTATACGGTAATCTGAAATGCTTTATCTCTGCCAGGAATTTGTGTTCATTATCATGTCTGGTAAAATTTTTACGTGTCTGGTGCTGCAAAGACTTGTTTGGTCTGGCAATGCTGCCACGAATGCTGTTACTATGAGCTTGTCACTTCAGCTTTGTGCCTGAAGGAAGGCTGGTCAGTGCAGAACATTGTTCTGTGCCTCCAAAGACATCCAAAATATGCTAACAAAGGTATGTATTAATTTTGATAAACCATCCGTGCAGGATTCCTTGCCAGATGTATATTGCATATGTTATACAACTCACTTTTGGCAAGAAACCTCAAGGAACCACACTGGCAGGCAATCTTCCTCATTTTCTACACAAACTGGTGCATCCCAAGCAAAAAAGCGCCGAAAAAATACAGGGACACAGACGAAGGGAAACAGGACAAGGCGCACTCTCAACTGATGTTTATTGAAAAATTCACACGTTATATAGCCACACACACACACACACACAAAAAAAAAAGAATCATTTCTTTTCTATCTACTCAGCCCGCGTTTCAAAAATTCAAACTCATTTGTAGATAAGGATACCGACGTGTCACTTATACAATTCTTGTCTCTGGTCCTAATTGCATACGCCTCGTGTAATTCCCGCGACACTTTATCTTTGTATCTAGCCAAAATCTTGGTGTCATTGAAGGCCGGGGTGCAAGAGCATCTATTGCAATGAATTGCAAGGTGCCCCGAAGGCGTCGTTCTTGTAGAGGCAGCGTGCTCTCGGGTGCGATCATTAACGCACCTGCCCGTCTGGCCCACGTATGTCATCCCACACGTCATGGGGATTTCATACTATCGGGGTTGCTAAAGAGCGTGAAGTCGAGCAAGAAATTGAACCTCGACATATTCTTTACTGCTAAAACACATAAGCCTGAAGTTCCCTTTAGGGCCATTGTTACAGAAAGAGGCGCTTGGCAGTTTCACATGGGTAATTTCGTGCGCAAACATTTGTGCGCGCTTGAGTTGCATGATCCGTTCATAGTGCGAAATTCAGAATGTGTCATTGAATTTTTGAGGCAAGGGGGCCAGTGCATGCGCAGTGGGTTTTCCATCAACGTCGAGGATTTATTTTACTCGATTCCTCATGAACCCCTATTCTCGGCGGTGAGACAATGCATAGACCAGAACGGAGTTGTCGCTTTCCAGAATTCTTTGGGCATCAGTGTTGATAGCTTTCTTGAGCTCCTGGTTTTTTACTTAAAACATACGTTTGCGTCATTCGAGGGAACCCTTTATGTGCAAAGAAAAGGCGTTTGCATCGGGTCCAGTGTTGCACCTGTTTTGTGTGACATTTTTCTAGGCAGCTGTGGAAAAAACATCGCTTTGAACATTTCGAACGATGACAATGTGAAGATCTTCAGATACGTCGACGATTTCCTCAACCTTAGCCGCTCGGCGGGGCCCCCTTGCAGTGAAGTCTCTCAGTTGCTAGACGTGTTTAAATTGTGTTGCTCCGGTTTGACATTCACGCATGAGTTACAAAAAGAAAGCAAACTGCAATTCTTGGACCTCGAGCTGTCGTTTTTTGGGGACCATGTTTGTTGGAAGTACGCGCCTCGAACTAGGAAGGGCATCCTTCCTTTTGATTCCGCCCACTCGAAGGTAGTGAAAAGGGGCATAGCCAGTTCGTGCCTGGGGGCTTCTCTCAGAAAGTCATGTTTGCACAGTGCGCAAGGCAGCTTCGAGGGTCAGATAGAACGCCTGCAGAGGCTTGGTTTTCCGTTGAGAGCTTTGGTTGAAGTGGCAGAAAGCTTAATCAAAAAGATTAAAGGTAATCGGAAATCAAACAGCGATAGACCGACCACGAGGCCTGTTGTCATTCCATATATGCACAATGTAACGCACAATCTGAAAAAGGTAGCCCAGCGCTACAATGTACCGGTAGCTTTTTCAGCACCCAATAAGATGGCGCGACTTTGTCGCCAGATCAATTCACCACAGCCATCTTCAGATCCCTGCACTACCAAACATTGAAATAAGTATGTTGAATGTGCCACTGGCGTCGTCTATGAAATCCCCATGACGTGTGGGATGACATACGTGGGCCAGACGGGCAGGTGCGTTAATGATCGCACCCGAGAGCACGCTGCCTCTACAAGAACGACGCCTTCGGGGCACCTTGCAATTCATTGCAATAGATGCTCTTGCACCCCGGCCTTCAATGACACCAAGATTTTGGCTAGATACAAAGATAAAGTGTCGCGGGAATTACACGAGGCGTATGCAATTAGGACCAGAGACAAGAATTGTATAAGTGACACGTCGGTATCCTTATCTACAAATGAGTTTGAATTTTTGAAACGCGGGCTGAGTAGATAGAAAAGAAATGATTCTTTTTTTTTTTTTTTGTGTGTGTGTGTGTGGCTATATAACGTGTGAATTTTTCAATAAACATCAGTTGAGAGTGCGCCTTGTCCTGTTTCCCTTCGTCTGTGTCCCTGTATTTTTTCGGCGCTTTTTTGCTTGCAATGAACCAACTGGCCCAAATCTCCACTTTGGTGCATCCCACCTCAATTTAAACATCCTCCCATTGCAATCAACTCAGAATCATTGTGGAGCATTCCCCATACCGAATTGGGTCAGCAGGCACTAAGCAATTGTGCGGGAAGTCTATGAGCGTCGTCTCGGCAGTCATGTCTCAGTACCTCCAAGATAAACCTAAAGTGGTTAAGTACAGTAAGCGGAATCCAAAACAGAAAAACCAACAAGTAGGTCATTGAATTCAAATTTTTATGCGCATCAGATGGAGACAGGCTTCACACCTACAGATACGTATACACAACAAAAACGCCATTGCATCTAGACCGATAACATGAAAAGTAGAAGAGAAACGACCTTCACAAAATTAGCAAAAATCTCTTAATTTCTTTTTGGAAATTCCAGCTCTTAACGGCAACATTAAAAAAAAAATAATAATTTATCCTGGGAACTACATAATGTGTACCACACAAGCCCCACAAAAGACTGCACTATCTACACGTTTGTCCATAGGTCAGACAGACCAACAGGTTTGTATTTGAATACATATCTTAATGCACACCAGACAGATGCAACTCCCTTGCCTACATATACATGAAAACAGAACTACCACATTAAGAGTTTAGCACGAAATAGTGACAAAAAATTAAAAAACATTAGAAAAAATATTTTTTTTGTCTTTTCTTCGGATTTCAGCACATAACTGCAGTATTCTAACAAAGAACAATATATTCCACACAAACTCCGCAAGACTCCCGGGACTATCTACACGAGTGCCTGCAGATCCAGGGGGACTATTCCGCCCAGCGTACTGAACATTATGTCTAGTGTGCTGGGCCATAGATTCCAGCCAGCATATTGAACCACAAATGTTTAGCCAGCATACCGAACAGGAACTCGAGCTAGCGTACTGAACCGTAACCTCTGGCCATTGTACAGGTCCGTAAATTCCGACCAGCATACTGGTCTGTAAATGCTGGCCAGTTTACTGAACTGTGAACTCCAGCCAGCATACAAACCATAAATTCCGGCCAGCAGGCTGAACCGTAAATTCCGACCAGTGTACTGGGTCACGATTTCTGGTCGGCACACTGGTGCGTAATTTCTGGTTAGCATAGGGCCATGAATTCCAGCCAGCACGCAGAACTGTAAATTCCAATCGGCATACTAGGCCGTAATTGCTGGTCAGCATACAAGGCCATAAATTATGACCAGCATACTGGGCCGTAAACACCGTCCAGCCTACTGGGCCGAACGGCGGGGCAATAGCCCACCTAGTCCATGAACTTGCGGTTGGGGTTCCTGCCGAAGAGGGCCGTCCTGATCTGCGGCAGAAGCTGGAGGGCGATCATGTCCAGCCGCGACTCGAGCGTATTGCAGACACGAATCTTGCCCCGCCTGGACAGCATCTCGACTCCGCCGCAGCTGCTCGACGCCAGGCTGGGCTCCACGCTGAGCTTGACCTTTCGGCCAGTGGCCTCCTTGAACTTGGCACTCAGCGTGTCCAAGTTCAGTAGCCCAGCGTCTTGCGGTCGGCAGTGGACGATTACCTGCATGGTGACGGACCGTGCCTCAGTCCAGCAACCGAGCACGGTCATCCGGACACCGGCTAGGCCAGGTGACAAAAGCTACCACCTGATGCAAAGGATGTAACCAATACCATGCATTTGTGTATGCACGTGTGTATGTATGTACATACAGATGACTACATGTACAGGGTTGTTCCAACTAACTAGACCATGGGTTAAAAATATTTTGGTGCATTTTAAGAGAAAACCAAAGGAATAAGTTTGTTCATTGTTTGGAGCAAGTGAGGCTATTTTTTGTATGTTGCCCAATAAAATAGTTAAGATTAATTCTTTATATATTCTATTCAGAGCAAAAGTTCCAATCATAAAGTTTACAGTGTCCTCCAAGATATCTAATTCAATGTTTTTTTGTTTGTTTTTTCGAGAAGCCTTAAACGCTAATCGTTCATCCGTGCTTTCAAAGAAGCCTGCAAATTGTTAAAAATATCTTGTGACTTCGCACTTGCGTGCCTTGTAGCGCTCTCAACCGAGGCTCGAACAAACTAGACCCGCATGCTGGACAGTTGACAGATTTGCGCTATGCAGAGAGCAAGTCGTCTGCTTCTTGATGGTGGAACAATGCCAAGCTTTGATGGAAAGGATAGTGGGTAGACCTCAATGCTAGATGCTTTGAGGTCTGCCCACTATTTTCTTAATCATACTAAGAGTTCAGCGTTCCGATATCATTGCAGCCCCTATGTAAGAAGCAGACGAACTTGCACTCCACATGCTTTCTCTCACCCTAAGTCCGAGCGCGGCCAATGTTACGAGCTGGAGGGCCAATCAAAAAGCCCAACTTCGTGGCATGCTCTCTGTGCTCGATAAGTTGAGCAAGCAGAGGAGCACGCACAAATATACAGCAAACACCGCCTGGTCCTATCGACTACAGAGAGTACACCACAACGTTTTGCCTTTTTCGCCGTTCGATTGGCCCTTCGGTCCGCAACATTAGCCGCACTCACGAAACAACTCGCAATCGCGTCATCGTCGGCGCCTCTTTTTTGCTTTTGCAGCAGCAGTGCACCCGGCCATCAGGCAAGTTTAATTTGTTCGAGCCGCGTTTGAGAGCACGTGAGTGCGCAGTTGCAAGTTTTTTTCGTAATTCGGGGGCTTTTTAATTAGCCCAGAAAAACGAACCGTGTTTGAGGTTCTTCAATAAAAACCCTAAACTTTGTTTCACCTTACGTTGCACCACAAAGGAAGCTACGAGCCACCGGAGCCAATTCATAGCTTGGAGGGTGTCACAAGGCCCTTCCGGTTGAGCGAAACGATGCGGAAAGTGCCAAGTTTCGCGAGAAGCTACGAAATATGGATTGACTCACTCATAGCATCCATCGCGGTACATCGTAAAGTGAAACGGAGTATAATTGCATCTAGGGTTCAGGGTTTCCTAGACAAAATTACAAAAAATCTGGAAAACTAATACAAATTTGGTTAGTTCGAAAATGCTTTGAAATCACTATTATATTTTAAAAAAAGGGGGCATTTCGTATTACTCTTTGTAAAGTACAGGACCAACAGTCACGAAAGGCCGCTCGAGCCTCCCGTCTAACCACTGACAATTAACAAAAAGGGGAGTTTGTTGTCAAATTCTATTCCATACAACAGGTCAGTGCTGTCGCATTTCTGGGTCAAAATAGAAGCCAGTCTAACTATGGAAATGTGCAAGGCGCTTTTCAGATTTCTCGTCTAGACAATACCTGGGCCTCTGACAGAGAGGATGAGGCTTTGACAACAACGAAATCTCTATTCTGCATATTTCACATAAATAATGCCCCCAATGGGCCTATTTCCAGTAAGCTTGCGTGCAAGTGTACACTCTCCTTCAGCTTCGCTTCCCGCTGTCACCATTTTGGGGGGCACCGCCCCGCACGACCAATATAGTCGTCGGCCATCTTTGCACTTATTTTGTCTTTTCCGACAAGTCATTTTTGAGTATTGGTAGTATGGGGCATATGAAAGCGACTAAAACCGATTACAAAGGCACGATGCCAATGTGTTCCGACCGGTGGAGACATATTGGGCTGCCCTTTGTTTGCACTTCGCAAAGAATTCCCCAGACGGCACTCGTCACTCGAAAAAGGTCCATTAAAACGGCCTGGTCACACCATCTTCCCTCAGTATACAGGTGCATGCTATCGGACATGGCATGCAGTTTTACCTCCTGCTCGAGGAGCTGAAGCAGTGCCTGCAGAACCATGCTCTGCAGGAGGGCTTGGTAGCGAGCCTGGTCCCTGGTGATGTCCCCCAGGCGGCGCTTGGCTTCCTCTAGCACCGTCGCAATGTGGTCCTCGCCGGCCTTCAGCACCTTCAGCCGGGCCTGGTTCAGCATGTTGGAGCTTTGGCTGCAGGGGGGAAAGCACAGTTCAAGGCCAATGCACACTTCACATTTCCCACTGTGGTTCGCTTCATACCTTAACCAAAGATCATTAGCAAGAGGTTCTTCAGCAAGGGCAGAGCTCAAAGTCAATGCTGTGGCTCTCTTCACATCGTCCCCAAAGGTCATTTGCAAAAGGTTTTTCAGCAAGGGCACAGTTCAAAGTAGATGCTTTGCTCTTTTCACATCCTAATTAAAAATCATACGCAAAATGTTCTTCAGCAAGGCTGAAAATTATGAACTCCTTGCATTTCATCTGTCAATGAGAAAGGGAAAGAATCCCTTGTTCAAACTTTGTAGGTCAAGGTGTCCACACCGAGCGCAAAAGCAACACTCAAGCGGGCCAGTCGTCCATTTCGGTCCGTTATCCAGTGAGTGCTCAATTGTAAGTCACCTGCATCAGCTCGCTGGCCTATGGCCATTGAGAGGGTAAAAGCTGAGAAATTCCCCGCTCATCAACTGCAAGTCGATGCTGGTGCCATCATGTGACACAGATGCAAAAACTCTGAAGCTCTGGGACTCCAAGAATATGAGCTCGGCTGCACCATGTTTGTGTACTCCCAGAGTTTAGTCTTTTCTACTCTATGGTCATGTCCAAAAACGTACTCTACATCCAAGGAAAGACAAAGAAAATAAGAGGAGTCTCGTAGAGTGAGGCCTTTTGTTCCTTGGCATCTTGAGACTTTTCCACCCTTGTCTCCCGTCACCGACATTACTTTGACCGGCCCCATCAATCCCAGACAAAATAGACAGTTATACAGATCCCTAGACATTCATGGGACCTTATGATGTACACTTAGCATCAAGCCTGGCTAAAGCATAGTAGTGGTGTGCTCCAAGCTGCGCGTGAGACATCTGCCGGTGGACGCTGGGCCTCTGAGCTTGCGCCGTCGTTGTGCAGCACTGGGCAGATGCCAACGTGTGTGCTGATCCTTCTGCAAGCTCGACCAGCCACCAGAAGAGCGCTTGGCGCTTCCAGGCTGCGAGATCAAGGGGCTTGGTGCAACAGCCCATGCACCGCCGGCTCCACATTATTGAGTGTTCTTGAGAGGAACTTAGCCGCTGAACTCGCGCACTTGCTTTCGTACACGCGCAAAACCGCTCATGGTGTGCGTGGGAAGCTATGCATATTGTTTGCATGTAATGCTTCCTCACCGCTACCAATTCAAGCGATTGTTGTCTCTGCACTTTCAATAAATTGCTTTCATAATGGGAACATTATGAAAGCGATTCCACAGTAATGAACATGTGTCGGACACTAAAATTATTCCGTTGCTTAAAGCTTCCTTCCGCTTGTACAATCGGCATCAAGCTCGTAATGACGCTACCAACTGGAATATTTAATGTCTTAATGAATCTTCCAACACATTGCATGTCACAAGACGTTTGGGTTTTCATGCAAATAATTTAATTCAGCTGGCATCAATTTAGAGCAAAAATTAAAAAACAAAGTGATAAACCAAAAGTAAAAAAAAAATATTGAAAGAAAATTTTAAGTGTTTATGTTGAAATATGTGATGTGGCACGTAGACTGGGTGGCAGACAGGACCGCCTTGAGCCGCTTTCAGGCTTGTGATCCTCGACGGAAGCAAACGCGCTTGTTCAGCGTGCTAAATTTCTCTCAAAAGAATGCACGATAAAGCGGAGCAAGCGGCGCGTGGGCTGCCACACTGAGCGCCTCGATTTCGCAGCCTGGAGGCGCCGAGTGCTCCTCTGGCGGCTGGCGAAACGGTCAGCACAAACATTGCCATCTGCCGAGCGCTGCGAATGGTGGCGCGAGCTCAGAGGCACACTATCTCAGGCCCAGCGTCTGCTGGCAGATCTCGTATGCGCAGTCCAGAACATACCGATCCTTTGCTGTAGACAGGTTTGATGCCGAGTGTACAGTCTCTTGAAATATTAAAGACCCACTGGGAGGACGTAGCCAAGACGGTGGCTGGGGGTACGCTAGGGGCACTCCGGGCGATTCCATTACACCCCGAGAGGAGGACTCATTCGGGGCTCGGCCAAAGCGTAACACGCGTTGTTCAGTTTTGGCTTCGTGGCGGAGGGCACTTTGTCAGCTTCATGCCGCGGATATGTCTTCCTAATGGCACAACTGCTGTCTGAAGGAGACCGGCATGAGCAGAGGAGATTATTCAGACGCTGTTAAAGCATGAGATCCGTGCCATTATTCTAACCTATGAATGCGTTCAATGAATTTTATCTTTTAAATATAGGGGTCGGGTATAAATTTAATATTTGTTTATTTGGCAGTGCCAGTTCTGACATATTACACCAAAACCAACTGATAGAAAAGACTGAAGTCTAAGTAGACTGTTTTGAGCCTTCATGACCACATCTCTGGGGCATGTTGAGAATGATGCGCACACTTCTGCTAAACCGAAAAGAAAAACTTAAGTGTGTTCAGGTCCAGTTGAGCCCCGAGTGAGTGTCCTCCCCTCGAACCAGAATAGACTCGCTTAAAGCGTGCGCAGCACCCCCGCCCGCTGCCATCTCAGCAACATGATCTTAAAGGGCAACTCCGGTCCATACTTTCGATTTTGAGATTATGACTGTTTTTAGTGCAGTCAGCGTCCCTGAATGCCAAGGTCTAATTTTTTCTCATTATTGTGCGTAGTTTTAAAGATATCGACGCCTCAAAGTTTTGTTTGGGGCGCGGCCAACAAAACCGAAACTAGTCGCTCGAGGCCCCAGCAACACTGGAAATCAGCCGCTATGTGAACGCGACATCAGGATCGTTCTCGTTCAACAAGTATGCACGCCGAGCGGCACCTACCTCTGTTGCGCTAGCCGTCTAAAGATAGGAGGTAAGCTGATTTTGTTTTAATTCTGTATACATGGTAGTTATCCAGCATATGTAGCAAGAGTTAGTGCGTATACTCAAAAGCTAGAGACTGGAAACCCCGTGAACTCGTACAATGCCGTACTCGGCGGCCGCCGCCATGCGTCCGTTATGCTGTACTTGTCGCTTGTATACCCAAAACCTAGCGACTGGAAAACTAGTGAACTCGTTCGGTTCCGTACTCGGCGGTTGTCGCCGCGTGTGCGGTCTTTCGTACTCGTCGCTAGGCCTAAAATGTCATCTGGGCTCCGTGGATGAAGCGGCGTTGCTCTACGCCGCGCTGCCAGTGACATACAGTACTGGGGGCCCGTTTGCTTTCGCACTGCGGGTCAGTCCCAAACACGAAGCTTTGAGGCTCTCTGGCGCGGGCCGCATCACCCGAAAACAGGTGTGCTAAGCTGAACACGTCTGTTTTTCGTTTTTTTTTTTTTTTTCATTGGGCGTTTACAGCGTTTACCCACACCTTCTCCAATTTCCGATGCATTGGAAACTTGTGAAAAAGCACCTCCGTGTTGCGCGACGGGTTGTTTGAGCAGCTCACAGCGCTACAAGTTGCACTCGGCATCTTTCGAGGAACAGCTGGGCAGTCTTGGGCGCACCGAGTTGCCCACTAAAAAGAGTCTTGGAGTCCTCACAAGTAAATAAACAAAAGGCTATACCGAAGCTACATGGGCTACAGATAAAAGTAACGGCTAAACACGCCAATCAGAAGCCGAAGTAGCAGCGGTAGCGGCTCAAAGAAGCGCACTCCGCGCAATGCCCGAACCGGAGGAAAAAAAAGAGAACGATACTGATGTCACGGCCCAGTGTTGCTTTAGCGATCGGCAACCCGCTGGCCGCCTACTAAGGAGCTGCGGCTCGCATTTTTATTAACGGCATTAGTTGAGAATTCGGCGTGCCACAGACGTAATATTTTGGCTGGGGTCGTATTTTGTGTCACTACAACGATACCAGTAATTTATTTCATTTTGAGTTTTGGCCGGAGTTGCCCTTTAAGCAAAGCAAATTTTTGTGTGTATGTTAATACAGCCAGAAGTTAGTCTGCCTCAGTGGGCGTCTGGTGTCTCAGCTGTGAATGAGCAATTTAGCCAGTGCAGCAGAACCGCTAGCCTGGGGTCTTTAACGTGCATCAAACAGTAGTGATACACGACCGCACACTAGTAGGATGCTCATCTAGATCGAAACAAGCAGGGCTGGGGTTGAACCCAGGATCTCTGGGTTCTGCAGCACAAACTTTCGCTGCATGTGCTCCGAGCTGGTGTGCACTAGCCCACTCGGCCACCAATCCCCCAGACGCGCTCCCAGGGGGTCCTTCATATTGCAGGAGACTGTACCTAGTGCGTCCACAGTACCATATCTGCTGTCAGGGATGGCACAAAGTACACCCAGTGGCACTCCACCTATATCCGAGTTTTACGCCAGAGAAGGCGTGCACCACTTACATCTTGCGCTGCAGCTCAACTTGCTTCTCTCGACGGGTGTAGTAGTCGATGATCTTGAGCCTTTGCTCCGTGACCAGGCGACCCTTCTCGATGTTGAACTCTTCTTCCGCCTGCAAATTAAAATTGCAGGTGTTTTTGTGGTTTCTTATTGTCGGTTGGAAAGACATTTAAGATGTGCTACTACAATCCATTTCAAGTGGAACGCGATTGTAGCAGAAGCTACGAGAGTGAGCTCCGGCCTGAGCTCCGGCCTTTCAGCGCCCCTCGCAAGCATGCGCGCTCGAGCAATGGAAGCATCGTTCGGAGTGACACGCTCGCACATAACGTGAAACAAACTCCACAGTACCTTGGCGTCTACTTCTTCTGCCTTCTCGTTGGCTTCCTGGTCGATGAAAGCCATCATGTGCTTGATCTGGAAGCAAGAATTCCGAGGGTGGATGAAGATTACACGGAGGCATAGCTCAAGGAGCGGCAGGTGTCCGCCCGTCCGCAGCCCGCGGTGGAAGCGTCGGCGGTTCGCCAATGCCAACCTCACCTGCTTTTGGACGTCGGAGTCGCTGAGAGCCATGGCTTGTGGTGTTGTGGAACCCGAACTCGAAGAAGGAACTGTTGTTCAGCGAGAGAACTTGGGCGAACCGATTAAAAACCTAGAATTGCCGCACAGCCGTCATGTGATGTCCGCCGGGTGCCGCAAAACAGGAGGCGACCGCAGCGCCGCCCGATCAATACGTCAATACTTATTTAAAATTCTTTAAAATTTCGATGTAGTTTCTTTCGAACTGTCCTATTATCTGTATGATTTCAATATTTTGTTTTCTACAATGGGATCTGAAATAACTTAAATGTTTCCTTTGTTTCTGAATCCACCGTAACCCGAATTTCGTTTCGAGAGTTTTTGGTTTCTGGCCTTTCTCTCTCTGCGCTAGCCAAAGGAGAGGAATGCACTGAACAATCTTGTGGTGCTTAGGATAATCCATTATGGACTACAATATGTAACTGTTGGCAAGCTCAGTCACAGTCGTGCATACATTGGACCTTTTGCAGAAATATTGCTTTGAGTAAATGGACTCGGTACCCTCTCTCTTTCCCTCTGGCTGAGCAGAGAGGGAAAAATAATCTACAGTGGGGACTGGTTTGGGGAAGCGGTATCTAGGCAATCTAGGTCACACCGGCTCAACGGGCAAGCGGGAGGCGGATCGGAGTTGGACTAGTAATCCCCCACTTTAGGCATAACCTGGGCCACCTGGCAGAAAACCGTGTTCAAGGATTTCGAGGTTGGATCAATGCACGGATTACGAAGGACAGGGAAGAAGCACCTTAGAACGAACCTGGGGCAAGAAGATAAGCCACAATAAAAACAATAAATTTTTTGGGAGCCCAATCTAGGTCACTGCGGCTCAATGCGAAGTTGTCTGCTTCTTGCGCAGGGGTTGCAGTGACGTCAAAATGACACCGAGGTTTGATTGGCTTTGATCGGAAGGATAGTGGGTATACCTCAATGCTATATATCTTAAAGGCCCGTTCACATATTGCGTTTGACTACAACCGACTGAGACAAGACCGGTTTTTAACCTTCTTGTGACGGCTTACGACCAGCTCTGCAGCAGTGCATCCAGTCGTAAACCATTAGAAGAGGCTTCAAAACCGGCCTTGTCTCAGTCGTTCAAACTCGGTTGCAAGCATGTGAACGGGCCTTAAGGTCTACCCACTATTTTTACAGCGGAGCTGTTAAGGGCTAGTTTCCCCAGTTTCGTGTCCGTCACCAAATTAATGCAGACACAAAACTCTAGACTGCTACCGCCATATATGAGCGACGGCGGCAACCAGACAACCAGCTTGCCCGTTGTCTGGTTGCTGCCATTGCTCATAGGTGGCGGCAACTTTTCCAGCCTTTCCACTCTGGATTTCACCAGAGTGGAAAGGCTGAATTTCTCTAGACGTCCTCAAAGTCGTCCTTGAGGTCGTCCTAAAATCATCCTTGAGGTCATCCTGTATGTTGTCCTTGGTGGTTGTCTTAGACATCCTCAAGGTCGTCCTAAAAGTTCTGCTTGAGGTCGTCCTAGACATCGTCCCTGAGGTCGTCCTAGGCACTGTCCTTGAGGTCGTCCTAGGCACTGTCCTTGAGGTCGTCCTAGATGTCATCCCTAAGGTCGTCCTAGGCATCGTCCTTGAGGTAGTCCTAGATGTCGTCCCTGAGGTCATCCCACCATAGTACAGCTTCGCTGGTCTTCCTTGTTCACCAGAGTGAAAAGGCTGAAAGTTCTTTATCAATCAGCCAATGCAGAGCACAAGTTTGTTTGCTTCTTTTGCAAGGGTTGTGGCGACGTCAAAACACCGAACGCCAATTAGCTCTTATTGCAGGATAGTGGGTAGACGTCAAAGCAAGCTGCCTTGAGGTGTATCCACCATCCTTCAATCAGAGCCAATCAGAGCTCGGCGTTCTGATGTCACCACAATCTCTGCAAAAGAAGCAGACGGACTTGTGCTCCGCATAAGAGCCTGGCATTCTGATGTCATCGCAACCACTGTGCAAGGAGCAGACGAACTGGCACTCCGCATAGACACGGCAGGATCTTGTTTTGTTGGTCAAGGGCATGAAAATACGTTTTCAGATTTTCACACCAGAACCTACTGAACCGGAATTTTCTAATGGTCCATAGAGCCAGCAGGATCTTGCTTCCTTGGTTGAGTGTATGGAAATATGCGTTCACATAATTCCATACCATAACCTACTGAAATGGAATTTCCTAAAATGGTCCACAGAGCCAGCAGATCTTGCTTCCTTGGTCAAGGGTATGGAAATATGTGTTCATGTATCGGTAAAAGAACCTCCTGGACCAGCATTCTTAAAAAATGGTTTAAAGCCAGCAGGATCTTGCTCCCTTGGTTGAGGGTGTGGAAATATGCGTTTACACATTTCAATACCAGAACTTGCTAAACCGGAATTTTCTAAAATGGTCTATAGAGCCAGCAGGATCTTGTTCCCTTGGTTGAGGGTATAGAAATACGAGTTCATGTACTTCTATACCAGAACCTACTGAACTGGAATTTTCTAAAATGGTCCATAGAGTCAGCAGTATCTTGGTTTCTCGGTCGAGGGTATGGAAATATGTGTTCACATATCTATACCAGAGCCAGCATATTTTAACATAGTTCACAGAGCCAGCAACACTTTGCTTGTGGTTGAGGGATGGATATATCCGTTCACATATTTCCATACTAGAACCTTCTGAACTGGAATTTTCTAAAATGGCACACAGAGCCAGCAGTATCTTGCTTTCTCGGTCGAGGGTATGGAAATATGTTTTCACATATTCATACCAGAATCTTCTGAACCGGCATTTTCTAAAATGGTGCATAGAGCCAGCATCTTGCTTCCTTTGAGGAAGTGCGCATGCTTGCTTTAGCACGAGTTTGTGTATGTTCATACCAGAACTTCCTGAACCGTCTATTTCCTAAAATGGTCCATATGGAAAATGGTGCTATAGGTTTCTTGTGGCAACTTTAGTGGCAGAAATGCCAAAAATCGTCCTCCAGACATGCAAAATATATGGTCACCTCATCCCAACGTGCAGTAATAATCTTTACTCTTACTAGATTAGCACGTTCAGCTTGCATTATAGGCAACCGAGCGACAGGGAATACTTGTTGAATATAATCTGCCGGCATAGAGCTCAACAAAACAAAACCAACAAGGAAAGCAAACATTAACTACACACCACTTTATCATACATTGTATATTTTATTCCAAAAAGGAAATGCAAGATGAAATGTGGCAGTAGGAAACAGAGGTATACCATTGCAGCAGACGACTGTACAACAGCCATCTTGCCTGGGCACCCAATGCCACACGCTCGAGAAAGATTGGGAGATGTCTGAAGAATCTCGTGTCCACCTGACACTCCATTGCAAGGGAAAGGTTGGCCCATCTCGATGCAACAACCATGAAGACAAAATGGCAATAAATAAAACAAATGTGGTTAGTGGGTCAGCGTCCGTAAGGTGCCTGGAATACTGGCGTTCGACGTCCTAACTTAAAATTTCACGGCACGTGCGTGTGCGTACAGATCACACCACTGTGCCGTGATAAAGACTCTTAATGCCTATAAGTCGCGAGCACTAGTGTGATCAGTACTCGGCTACATCTTTCTGAAGGGGTGATGAAGTCATGAAATCCAACGACCGACACATATAACTCAAGTAACACACCTTCAAAACCCCGAAGAACATTGCATAAAATCTCGTAATGTGACAATGACTTATTCGACGCCGGAAAAAAAAACGCTCGAGGTTTTCAAGAGATTCCGTAATAATACTGCGGCACTTCTCTCGCTTCGATGCGAGAGATACAAGTATGTTCCGAGAATCATGCCATCTTCTCGGTACCCTTGCCGAAACCTCTTCGGCTCTCTCCTAGAATGACGCTTTCAATCCGAACAAACATTTAGAGACGTCGCTATTGACTGGCAAGTCACAACGTAACTCTAAAAGAAACAATAAGAAGAAAAAAAAAAAAAAGACGTGGGGGTCTCTGGACACAAGTGGTGTGCAGTTGCGCAAGCAGCAACCCACCGTAATCTCGCACAAAAATGACTACCCGCTGGGGCACGAAAACACCCAACAGTTGTAACCCTGTACTCCATTTCACCCTAGCTCCAGTATGTAGCAAAGGCTAGGAGCATAAGCTCGGAGTTTCAGAGAGGAGATTCCGTCGTTTGAACACATCCGTTGCGCAAAAAGTTACGTCTCGAGGCTACGCGACCGCAGCCTTAGCCGCAGACTCTCGCCAACACATAACGAAGTAAAAACTTCCATACTTTCTATGAACAGGGAACATGAGTGCTTGCACTGAACCCGAACAACAGCTAAACCCGTGCGAGTTTACGGTGTTTGCCCTCATGGCGGCCGTTCGTAAACGGTGACGGAGTTTACAAACGGTTCCATAGACACAACCATAGGAGGCATCGTAAGCGACGTAGTAGACGTCAACAGTAGAGCGGCCGTCTCGAAGGGACACGCACAAATGCTGGCACAAACTCTGGACAGACGAATGAACTTCAGAGAAAAGGAAGTCTCCTTCCTGTCCAACAAATCGTCGTCGATCGAAAACAGTCAGCACGCCCCGAAGCTGCAGCCACCATAGTCCGTATCACCGTACGACAGACCCCAGTGGACGCTGCGAGCCATTATCCGGCGCTGCGAACGCGTCACGTGACACGTCGCTGTGCCCCTCACGAAGGCCACGTGACGCTTGTACGGCATTGGATTGGCTCCAGTGTCTCCTGTACTCTATCCGGCCCTAAGCCGACAGTGCGGTGGGAGCTACACGCTCGCGTGGCCAATGAACCGCCCCCCTTTTATCACCTGACCCTGCTCTCTCCGCGTGCATATCAGGCAGGAAAGTGATCTCGTGGCGAAAGGTGACTAGCTACAACTATAGTTTGTTGCAGGTCAAGAAGGGCGGGACAAGTCCCTCCCACAAAGCTCTCTGCTCGCCATGATTGATGGTTTCCTCCTCTCCAGCAGACGCTCTGCTAAAGTGGAGAGGGTAGAGGGCTTTATCGGAGGAGCTTGTCCTACTTTTCCTAACGTGTAATGGACTATAGCTCTAGACTCGTCAAACACAAAGTTTGGGCCAAAGTTAACGCACGCACCAATTGGACTCTCGCGATGCCGCCGCCACACTTTGCTTGTCGAAGTCGAATCCCCGCGCTTTGCAAACTTTAAACTCCAAATTGGTGTTTGACGAGTGTATTTTCATATTTGTTTCGAGAACCGTAGTAGACAGTTTGGCCTCTTGTGGAGCGTTAGGCCTGCTTCAGACGGGGCAACTTTTCCAGCAATTTTGAGGTTGCTGGCGGGTTGTTCCCTAGCTTTCCCTAGATCGACACAAATTGCTGAGATTGGGTCCGGCTCGAACGAGCGAGCAACTCGGAGCAATTCGAAAACGTTTGAAATGGCTGCAGCCAATCAGAGATGCGATATTTTCCCATGACACCCCTGTGGTAGTGATGATGACAGCTATAAACTTTGTTCTTGCTCGAAATGGATAGTTTTCGGAAATAAACCTTTTCAGAAAGATGAGTTAGTATTCTCAACACCATTCAAAGATATAAAAACATGTTTTTAGCGCGTATCTGTGCGTCTAAATAGTGTAAGAAAAATCAAATTTCATGATGATGATGCCAAGTCGGAGCAATTCGGTTGCTGCGTGTGAACGCGGGCGGCCCGTGTTGCTGGTGTTGCGACGTCAAGTTGCTGGGCAAAATTGCCCCATCTGAAGCGGGCCTTAGGAATATCCCCCCTTATATAACGAATTAAGGTGTACAAAAATGTATTTTAGATTTCCTACACATTATTTTATCGAGCTGTACAAGTTTCAAATGCAAAAAGCATTGTTTCTTCCCCCTAAGAGCCAAATCCTTCAAGAACTACCTCGTGCAGCATACGAACAACGAGGAAAACTTGCTATTTTCTCGATGTGACGAGTATAGAGCCCTAGCACGTAACTTCCACCGCACCATCATCCTGAGGTTGAACGGAGTGTGGCTTCCCCCTCAGTCCGTCGTCTGACAAAACGTAGCATGAAATAAATAAAAAGGGGAGAACGTTTTTGGCATGATGCTTGGAATACTGGCTCGTTCTGGGCGTCACTGGCGCCGCTCGCACGCACGTCAGATACGCGGCTTGTAGGTTAGTGTGACGTGGAACGTCTGCACGTCCAGTTCGGTGCAGTCCTGCTCCGACACCACGGGAGGTCCGTTCTCTTTGTCCCTCGATGACGAACGGCGCACTAGGCGTCTTGACGACGACCCTCTTGACCCCCTGGAAGACGGGGTGCCCCCCAGGGGGCTGAGGAACCACTCCGACCTGGTGCGCATCCGTGCAACCTGCCGCTCGTGGACGAGCGGTAGGAAGGAGAGGGAGCGGGCGGGGCCGAGGAGGGGCGTTTGGTGGAGCCCCGCCTCCTCCAGCACCAGGCAGGGCCCCTCCTGGGCCAGGGCCGGGGTCGACTGGCCGTGGTGCAGGCCCCAGCGCTGGGCCTCCGCCTGCAGCCACGAACGCTCCGCCTCCAGGGACGTCTTGCCTGTGACAAGCGCAGAAACGAAGAGGGTTGGATTAGACTAGGTTATTTTTCGAGAGGAGGAGCAAGTAACATAGTTTCGTTACTTTTGGATGCAGAAACAACTAATGATATCTATTTACTTCTAGAAAGGAATGTGTACGACACAAGTTGCCCTTTTCGGTTTTCACCCCGGCTTGTGCCTGCAACTTTCACAACACAAAAGCGCGAACGAGAAAATAAAAAAGATGCCCACGAATGTGTAAAAAAGCTAGGCATTATTAATGACATAAAATATTAAAAAGCGGCTGCCGCCGCAGAAAACAGACACATTCAAAGTAACGAGAAAGTACTAACTCCCTGCTTTTGAGCTGAAGTGACACATTCTTTTTAACCTCAGCAACAAGTTACGCACTCGGTTACTTCTTTAAGCGAGTAACGGTATTCACTTACTCTTTTTCAATAATGTGTACATGTCTGGTTACAGGCAACGAATGTTCTAAGTATGCAAACTTCCGAGCTTCGCCGTGGTCGACGACTACACTACAGTGGCCCCGTGCAGTCAAGTCGAGGCGAGTGAACCCAGCGGGGCCAGCTTGCCATTGGGCTAACGAGCCGTCATTCTCTCTTTGCAGGCTAGGCTGTAGCTAGGGTCCCATACTACTGGGGTTTACTTTCTCCCACAGAAACACAGCATTTTGTTGTCAATTTTCAGTGCCAGAAAAAAAAAAAAACTTACATTTGCTGGGACTCATATTGGGGAAAATAGAAAATAAGAAAAGATAAAAAAGAGTTTAGTGTGGTGTCTGTTTTGGGTTAACATAAAATGAGACTGTAGAGATAAATGTTTCTTTACGTGAAGCTTGGCTAATTCATGTTCAAAGACAGCTTACACACAAGGTTTTTTTTGGTTTACTTCAGTTTCTATTCGAGTCTCCAGCTTGACGCTTGCCCTCCCATGGCAGAAATGGGAACCGCTCTAGTGAGGGTCCCCCGATTCTCCTGCTCAGCGGGCACGGCTTAACTGCTCGCGATCATGGCTCGCAAAATGTCATTTCTGAATGCAAACAACTCTCTTCACTGTCCCAATGTAGTGCTGCAGCCGGTATGGGATTGTGCCTTATTAGAGTTTTAATATTGCATATAGAAGAAATGCAAGTGCTGTGCAATTGTGTTAGAGGGGCGTCTTCCATGCTGCGCATGCGTGTCGTCACCATGCTCCAATCTAAGATTGCGATTTTGGGCTCCGCGTACATGCAGTGTAGAACACGCAAACACATGGTGCTCACATTTGCTGGTATATGCAATACTAGAACTCGCTGCTCTTTCACCGGTTTCCAATGACAACGAAACGTGCTGCAGTGAGCAGATTTTCAAGCATGTAGGCATTCCTTCGAACTGGAAAGACTGATTGGCAAAACGACAGCACGTAAAAATTAAAGAAACTAAATGTTCTGGGAACTCGTAATTAAAACAAACGAAATTTGTTTTATTTTTATTTTGGGGGGGCGGGGGGACATTTGGAAGCATTGGCGGCGATTTTGGAAGTTTTGCTAATTGTCAAAAGTCACGAATATGATGCATCATATGCTTTACCCACAATTAATGTAATTTTACATGGATTTCTCAGACTAGGTAGAATGTTTTCTTTGAATTTAGACTATTTTTATTTTACAACTTGCAAAAGAAAAATGCTGCAATTAGCACCATTGATGATAATTAGCACTCTTTTGGTTGCCATACTTGTTCGCACATTTGAAATTAGATCCTAAGCAACAAATTATATAAGAGCTTAAAAAACTATGTACTGAAATAGTTTAATTGAATTATTATTATTATTAATACAAACTGCCGCAATGTAGGCCCCCAATAAATGCAACGGTCACAAAAACATAATAGTCTTTCCAGAAAGGTATCATTTTGTTTTCTTTTTAGCATATGAAAAACTCTGACATTGTTATCAAGATAGACAAAAAACCAAACGCTGGATGTAGTAATTAGCATAAAGTCCTATGCGTCACGCGCTGCCTTAAAAGACACACACTTCTGCAACCTGACTCGGATTTCGTCTTTGGGGTTTTTGTAGCGAGACAGCTTTTCTTAATTTATATGTCTTGTGAACATATTCTAAGCTCATCACCCGTGGAAATATTTTGTAAAATTTGGATTAATTCTGTTATTCTTGCACTGGGAATAACATTAAAGCAATTAATCGTCCAAATATCCAAAAACCCATTAAAAGTCCCACAGTTCATTATTTGACATGACAATTAACTGAGTGAGAAAAGGCAGTTAGAACGCATGAATATCACCACAGATTTTTTCAACAAATACAATATTCTATGTTACCTCTAACGTGTATGAAAGATCCCGTCTTTGAAGGCACACTGAACTCTCCAAAATATTTTGAAGTTCCTGAATTGGGCACACGTATGTCACAAAATAAACTTTCCGCGAACAACTTCTTTAGCTTAGTAATTACGCTGTCCGACATATCTTCAGTTATGAAAGGATCCGGAAATTAACACTATACCGAGAAATCGAATCCAAAATAGAGGTTAGTTTTGGTTTCCTTCCAGAATTAAAACATGCCTCCTGGCATATTTTAAATGCTAACACACCGTTTTCTATTTTTTTTTTTTTTTTTTTTTTCAGTATAAAGAGGTGACTTGCATTCAAAACACTAGCTTCCTCGTATAGACAGGAATAATTTGTGTCGCTCAGTGAAGCCAGCACACTAGACAGGCTCAGCAACTGGTATTCGTGACTCCAGCAAAACGGACGGCACCAAACGGGAAAACTGGAAACCAGCCAGAACAGGTCGCTTTGCGCCCTTCCGCGTTTCTGGCGGCTTTCACGGACACGTGTTGTCAGCACGGTGCAAACAATGTAATTTGACGAAGGTCCAAAATACTCATTAAGTTTGCCTGAGTGTTCATTAGTGTGGTGAAGCCTCAGTAGATTGTTTCCTTCCGTCACGAGTTTGAAAGCCAGTTTACTCCACAACACAAGGTCGCATGCTTTCGATTTCTTGGATGGGGAGGAATCACGGAAAAACATTTTGATTTCTTGTCCGTCTCGAATCAGATTCAAAGTGACGATTACTCGGTAAGGATGTAGAAAAGTGGACTAAGGATGACAGACGAGGTGTTTCACTGGAGGGAACACCAATATTCCAGTCAAGTGAATGGGAATGTTCGATAGCATGCTTTTCTTTAATTTGGTTGTGTTCAAATTAGCTTCAAGATTGAGCCACCAACGCCGGTCGGTGCGTTGGCTATTGATCTTGGATGGCTTTCGCCAAAAAGGCCTCTGGACCACACCGAAGGATTTTCATCTGATTTCGCAATTACTTGATTCCGAAAAAACCTGCTGGCTGAATACGATTAATGAGGGAAATTGCCTGCTTTCAAAAGGTGTGGGACACGTCTCGCAAAGTTAGAAGCTGTCACAACATTATGATCTATCTATTTTACCCCTGTCAAAGCCAGCAACAATATATGTCTACATTGCTCAGAGCCGGCCGTAAGCCGTCGCGGAAGGCTTAAAAACCGGTTTTGAGCCTCTCTGGTTGCAAGCAGTCGCAAATGTGTGAATGGGCCTTTATAGTGCCAGGATCGTGGCTAGAAGCGGCGTGGTGCTTGTATAGAGCTTCACGCCGTCTCGAGGGACTGCCGTTTTAGACAGGGTTTATAAACGCGGCAGTCGGAGACGCATTCGAGGCGCCACCACGAGCAGACCACTGTGGGCGGTTGGAGGGAGGTCTCACTCACGTGGTACGAGGGAGTCGGGTGGGTAGCGGAAGGCGAAGACCCAGTCCTCCTCGACCTTGAGCACGCGCCCGGTCAGCCGTGCGTAGTACTCGTAGTTGTCCCGGCCAAACAGGTTGCTCACACCGAAGTGGTCGATCAGGAACTGTGTCACCCGGGTGGCTGCCTTGAACCGAACCACGTCTTCCATGCGCGCCACCTGCACAACCGCCCAAACCAGACCGCCGTGTCAGTTCACAGACTACACAGAGATGGGACTTGCTCGTCCATTCACTCATTCATTGTTTTTTTACAGGGGCACTGAAGTGGTTTTACGAACGACACACAGACGGAAGATACTCATTCACTCGTTCATTGAGTCATTTAATAATTCTTTAAAGGGGCACTAAAGTGGTTTCATGGACAACACACTGACAACAGATACTCATTCATTGATATAATTGTTGTGTGCATGTCTATACAGCCAGAAATTAGTCTGCCTCAGTGGGCGTCTGGTGTCTCAGCTGTAGATGAGCAATTTAGCTAATGCGGTACAACCGCTAGCCTGGGGTCTTTAACGTGCACCACGCAGTACCGGTACACGACCGCATGCCGGTACGATGCTCATCCAAATCAAAATGGGCAGGGGTGGGGATTGAACCCAGGATCCCTGGGCTATCATTCACTGAAAAAATGGTCAATGCGAATCAAACGGCAGGCCCAGGAGGGAACCCCGACTGAAACAGTTGAGACAAACCCAAGTCCTTTGACACAGATACAGAAAGGAATAAAAGAACAATGTCAGTTGAGAACGCATAAATTCCCGTAAATGTTCAATGCAAAAAAAAAAATGTTTTCGCCGATTTAAAATTTTAGCTTATTCATACATTAGAAAACACTAACAAAAAGGCCCAGGGAAAAACAATTAAAAAAATATAATCCCTTTCAACCGCAGATACACAAACGAAAAGAAGGAATGACACTTGAGATCATGAAACCTTTCGCCAACTGGCTATAATAAAAAAAAGTAATTTTTGCTTCACAACAAAAACACCTTGACTAAAACAAAACAACACCTTCAATTGACTTAGAATTGAGTCACCTTGAAAAACAAAGCGCGTGTGTATTTAGTTGTGTTTCTTTTTTACGTTGTGAATGACCTTGGGGGAAGGGTATAAAAGCGTTGTACGAAATAAATTTTGTTAGCTGAGTTTGAGATGTTTGTCTGTCACCTTTCTTCAGCTTCTTCTAAGATATTTTCAAGTTTCCTTCCCAGTTACAAGGTTTAAATATCATGACTCATTAATCCACTTATTTATTCCTGACCTCTTTGACAGTCTAGTTTTTTCCCCAAAAGTGTCTTGTTTCCAAAGGAAGACTGTAAAGAAAAGGTCAATGTGCAGGTTTTTCTGTATTACCTAATGGGAGCATGTACAGTGCTTGCAAGCTGTTTAGATTTAGAATCATCAAATGGAAATACTGAAAGCGAAAAGGTGTCACCCTGCTCCCATTCGGTTTCATGCTTCCGCGACCATCCGACAGTTTCAGATGTCGAACGGGAGGTATTTTACGGAGCTTCTCCATCGGGTCGTAAGCTATTATCCTCTTAATTAGGTTCTGAAAAGCATTAAATGTCCGAATCGGAAGAGCTGGTGCTCCAAATAAGACAACCCCGGAACAGCCACGATGCAAAGTGAGCATCAACCGCAGATCCCATGCACGGAGCTTCTGATTTTAACACTATAAATAGCCTAGGCAGAGCAAAACACTATGCGAATATAATGTTTATACAGTTAGACCAAACACATAACAAATATCAATGCTTTGCACACAGTTTTATGTTTAGGTGGACACTTTTAAATATGTAACTGCCGCCGTATATGTGTGGCAAACACCGTCAAAGGGTTAAGGGGCCTTTTCCAAGGGCGTTACATAAGGAGGTGTCTGGCAAATGTTGCAATGTGCGATGAAAACAAGCAATAACAAAAGCACAAAAAAAAGCAAATACAGTAATACTCTCACTCTTGCGAATACTAAACCTAAAAAACATTAAATTGCAGTGCACAAACGTCAGTAAAAAACAAAGTTGTAAAACATGTCCCTTAAAAAAAAAAAAGAGAGAGAGACAATAAGAAAATTAGAAATCAGATACACAACCAAATCTGACATCAGAAGCAGCACAAACATAAAACTAATTGCTCACGACGAGGAAGTCAAGATCCAAAACCAACTTTGGTGTTCTTTCAAAGATAAAATTCAGAACACTAAGAGCGTCGATAAGACATGTAAGTAACAAAACAAAACATTTCCCGATTAAAAATAAAATTTTTGCACATTCTTATTGAAGGAGTGATCCAGACAATCAGAGTCAGACAATCGGACCGAGAAGGTGGCGACACTGAAAGGGCAGCCGTTAAGTGACTCTGGGTCACGGTGTAAGATACACTCTTTAAGTGAGGACACGGTGGGGCTGAACGCGCGGCGCGAGGAATCAGATAGCGTTCGTTCGACGGGCATCCGAAAGGCTGCATCAATTCGCGGCCACCGTGCCTGCGGCTGACAGTGTCGCCGACGGTCAAACGGCGAAACTGCGTTTCAGCGAAAAAAAAATATCTCGTTGCCATGACACCCCGGTACACCATGGTTTTTCTGCATGTGCGACAACCTTGCTGGAGCTTGTGGTTCTCCTTTGGGCCACTGCCTTTGGGAGTACCACGTTCGCGGCGAGACACTCTACGGCGAAGCGGGTTCGTACTCGCGTGGCATGCTGCTCATTGGGCGCAAACAGACACCAGTCACGTTGGTAACGGTGATAAACTGTTTATTTACAATGAAACAAATAACAGGAACACAGCGGCTACAAGCTGGTGAACGCAGTCGGTGTGGAGATTGCCCATGGCCAAACGGTTGTTCTCAAAGGTGCGCCGGACGGTTCCCCGTTGTCGCCGCCGCCGAATCCCAGGAAGAAGAGAAACAGCGATACTGCCGTCCGCTGGTTTTAAGGTAACGGCGGGGCGAAGAGGCCAATCGAGGAGCGACACGTCGATCTCCTTTGTGCGGGGGTTCGTTACGGAAATCGCCCCAAAGGGGGAGAGGAGGAAGCCACTCACAGTGGTAAGCAGTGTCACCTCTCGCTACGCCAGCGCGGCCGCCACGGCGCGCCAAAACGCTGACTCAACAGAATGTTGAGGGATCACAATCCCCACAAGCTCTGCGCGTGTGGAGCATGAGGCGGCACGAGCCGTCTTGTGCACTGCCTCCTGTGTCTTACACCGTGCCCATGGGTCGACGAGTCATCTGCCGGCACCGCTTGAAACCATAGTGAGAGAGAGTGAAAAGCGAACTTTATCGGCATGTCGGGAGGAGCACGCTGTCCTCACCTGAAGAGTATTATCTTACACCATGCTCCGGGTTCAGCTTGAGCAATGTGCTCCCCTTGCGGAGCAGAATATTGCAATGGTGCACCATTTTATGTCGGAGTAATGCAGGAAGTGACCGCCATTCTCGTAGGAGTTCCAGCGACAAATGGCAACACACCTGCAACGAGTGCACAGGTGGTGCCCATAGCACTCACGCCACCGTTGCTCCCCCTCGGCACCATAGAAGCGTCCACGTTGTGTACCCCGTTGTCTGCTCTTGAGAACTTTACCACGGGCGTATTAAAACACCGCTCGAAGCATAAAAATACAATTAGCACTGCCCAGCCAGTCGCACAACATTCAAAGGTCAAAGAAGTTTCGAGTTTATTGGACTTGGGTGCCAAATCTATGTCTTGCGAACTCCAAGCGAAAAACGTCGCGGCGCTCTGCAAGACCCCTTTCCGGCAGTACTTTCTTTGGCACACAACGATCGCTTCTACACAAAAAATAAGTTGGCGACGAAGAGGAAAACTACAGTCACGCCGTACATCATGCAAAACACACGGTGTTCGCTGGAGACACGATGACAGAATCACTACCTGCGGATGCACCCCGAGCATGTTCGACGCACGTTTGCTTTGTGCACATGGATGCTTGAAACTGTCGAACGGGGAAGAAACCCGCCCCAGAAGGTGTCTGCAGAATGTTGCTTGTGCGACGTATTAGCGGTTTGACCGCGGCTCTAGTCACCCCAAGACGGAGCAGACGACAGGCGCACACCCACCTTCCCCTCGCTGACGCAGGACCGGAAGAAAGAGGGTGCCACGCTGACCCCCAGGGCCTCGGAGGTCATGCCCGTGCGACAGGCCTCGGCCGACGAGGCCACCAGGCGGAAGGTGCCGAAGAGCAGCACCAGGAGCCGCTGGGCGGGCAGGGGCAGGGACGACAGCAGACGCTGCACCCGCTCACGCCGCTCCTCCATCTCCGAAATCTCCGCCAGCGCCTGCGGGCGAGAGCGGCCAACCATCACGCGTTACGCAGAAACGTTTCCTGTCTGGAAGATTTCAGTAGACCCTTTTCAAAATTCAGTGCCGTCTGCTGGCTCAAAAATCAGTTTCACCTCCGACAAATTAATGGCAGTCGTGGAACTGTATTTTATCGGGCACCGTCACTTTTGCTCGTCAGTGGGAGATGAGAGTTGGTTCCTCGATCACCTTGTAATTATTTCTTTGTTTGTTCTGACAGTGTCAACATAAAGGCCCGTTCGCACACTTGCATTTGCTTAGGACAGAGTTCTTGCGATGTCTTACGGCGAGAGAACACCCTAACAGCATTCATGAGGTGACCTCGGAACTGCACTTCACTAGTGCAAAGGTTTTGCAGCACCTGCGAGATTGAATGAACATACACTCTGTAAGAAATGGTCCTTATTAACATTGTCAACAGTTTTTCAAACCAAAAGAAGGAATTAAGCGTGAATAAAAAAAAAGGAAATATAAAGAATAGGCCGATGCCACCAAGCGAACTGCGCAGGCGCGCTCATTCCGGAAGTGGTGGCGCCGTCATGCTACTTGTAGTCATTCCTTTCCACCTTCCCGGCTACATAGGACTTGCGCATACATCATCGTAGATTACCATTTGGGACGCCCCGGTATCGGCTTGATTCTCCTGCATGTCTGCACTTCTTAAAGGTGTACTCCGCCGATTTCTTCATGGTCCCCGATTTGCTTTAAATTTTGCTAAACTCGCCAAACAACATCGCCAAAATAGTATCCCAAATATTAGGTCAAAATAATTTTTTTTCACGAAGTTATTGAATTTACAATTTTGGTCCTCACCGTGTTTTTCAAACTGAAAGTCTCTACTGGCAACAATGAAGAAGTGACGTCATTGGAAGTGCAGGGGTTCACTCTTTGGACTGTAGAATTTGTTCCCAACTGATTTGAAGCAGTTTCATGGTGTCAAATGAATGCCTTGGAAGCTCGCTCCAGTCCCCGTGCTTCAGCACGGAACAAATAATTGGCATATTCTATTTTTTAGACTACTCGCCCGACTGGCAAGCTGAACTTCCACTGACGTCACGGCCCTGAAAAGGGCGGGTATATTTGAATGTCTGTTTTTGCATCATTTTCATTTGCCGATTTCGCAATAACTATTATGAATTTCACGATATTAAATAGCATTCCAGAAAGGGTAAAGGCCTGGGAGTCAGAAAATATAGTTAGTTGAGGTAGCTCAAAAATCGGCGGAGTACACCTTTAAGAGTGTGTTGTTTGTGATACCTTAGTTCGTCAGCAAGCACAGAAAAGCAGTTCCAGTCGCTTTAGAACCGCTTTGTCGTCTGCTTCTTCGTCGCCTGCTTCTTCGTCTTCGTAAATGCGTGAGCCCACTGCCGTTCATGCGGTGGTCCCACAGAGGCCACGGGGAAAAAAACAATGAGGCAACTATTCTAGCATTCTGGCTGCTCGGACGTCTCAATTAACTTGGAAATAAGTGAACATCTAGTGCAATGGCAAAGAACAAGAAAATTCAAGGGCCCATCGGCTCGGTGTAGCACCGTGGAACAGCATCAAATGTGTTGGGTGAAAAACTGAGCTTGGTAGTGCTCAGTCTTGTGCGTAACGTTTAATCGACAATGAAGTGACAGGAGCTAAATAGACACTCTCAGTTAGCGATAGTTTCCTAAAAGTTGTTTCATTCTGGTTGACAGCCTGTGCAGCAGGGTGCACATGGACTGCGGGAGAAGCCTGCAAACGAAGAAGAAATGATCTACAGAAAGACCATGCCTGACGCGCCGTAACAATCGGCATCTGTCAAAAAGAAGCAAACATGCCAGATACCTGAAAGCTTGGGGTGGAGATGATTTCTTTGTGTACATTTTCTATTCAGTTTTATTTTGTTTGCGCAAGCTCCGAACGCTAAAAGTCTCCCAAGGGGGGAAGCTTCTTTTTTTGGTCTCGATTGGTGTTAATGCAGAATGGATCAGTAACATCAGCCTAATTTGGCAGTAGGTTCTGCACTTTAAATTGCATTATGTGGCATTTTTGCATTTGTGTGAAAAAAAAAAAATTAAGACTCTTTTCGGACAAAGCTGTTTTATTTAAAAATTATGCATGTCGGGAATCGCTGCTCTTTGTTTAGTGATTGTCCTGATCTTTTGAAGCACAGTTGAGCTTGAAACATGTTGTCGCAATAAGTTATAACAAAATACATTGAGCAAAAAGTGTATTAAAGGGAAGCTGAAGCGGTTTTAAATATGAGAAAAAAACACCTGAGCCTAGTTAATGAGACCTCAGCCATCACGAATATCGTATTTGTTTGGTCATTTTCTGCGCGGATTAACCGGAAAAACGCCTTCAAAGTAGCGCCGAAGCCACGCCTCTCCGAAGCAGAGGGAAAGGGGAGAGAGGAGGAAACCCGTCAGCCGGCGTCACAAAAGGACCGGCTGGGGGACCCCGCCGCGGCTGCACGCGCTTTCCTCGTAGGCTGCTCTACTGACTTTCCGAGCCGTTGCCGTTCTGCCGCTGCATAGCGCTTGCTTTTATCCGTTGACCGGTAGTGCCATTGACTTCATCGCCTGACGTATTAATTGTTTTCTTGTTTGTTCACGTATTAAGAGAATTCTCGTGGCACCTAAAAAACTGACGCGTGCTGCTGCACAATGCCGTACACATGTGAAGCCACCAACTTTCACGAACAGCGCTTGTCGCACTTGTTCTTCTTGCTTACCGTCTTTTCCACTCCGACCCCAAGTTTTTAAAGGGGAGGGGACGAGCAAGTACACCGTTTTTTGTTCGAAACGGGTTTCGGACGGCGCATGTGAAAACTACGTCCGTATGGGTTTGGGTCTGAAGAAGGCTCGCCTGAACCCGACGTTCTGCCGACCATCTTTGAAGGTAAGAAGGAAATTCAGCGCATTAAAAGTCACAAGCAAAGAGGAAACGTAACTAGGCAGAAATTGTAGGTCAACCGTTCCAGAAAAAAGCTATTACGTAATTATAATTTTGCAGTGTACTAGAAAAGCCGCGATCATGTAGCCAAATAGCGGGTTTCCACTGGCTCTCTTGTGCTAACCGCCTTATATTAGTGTGTTAGCGTTGATTTTTTATATTGTTGAGGTGACAATATTTTCCGGACCGACTCCGGTCCGAGAAATATAGGAATCAAAAGAAAACAATCTTGGGTAGCCCAAGATCATTTTCTTTTGCTTTTAATCTACTCCGCTACCCAGTCACTTGGGAGAGGAGGGCTTGCTCTAATAAGTAGTCATGCAATTCATAATGCGACTTTCACGGTGCAAATTATTTCAGCATAAACGTTTTCTTTTACAGTTGCTGATATTTTTTTAATTGAAGTCACATATTTTTTAAATGTAAAGATAAATATTGTTAAATTTTCCTTCCATAGGTTTAAATTCTCTTCAGGAGAGATTTTTCGAACTACAAAGCATCTGACCTTCTGTTCTAAATTTAGTTCTTTTTTTTTTTAGAAGTAACACAGTGTTTTCTGTACAAAGTTTGTGTCATGCAATGGTTGTTTGTTTTCCATAGAAACGCGATCGAACAATGATAATGCTTGGTGGTGGTCTAATGCAGTCAACAAATCTTGGTAGAAGTATGCGAATGTAGAGGCCCAGGAAGCTTCCACAAATTCGACATCAAATTAAGAGCTGCCAGGCGCACATCTCCGCTTTTTCAAAAGCTGTAATGCCGTAATAGTTGGTGGAAAACAAACTAAACCCAGCAGAGGATACCGCTATCACAAGGATGGACCTTCTGCAGAGTTATTCGCATAGTGCGCAAGGACATCACGATGGCAGAACGGCGACCCTATCTTATCACCCGTCTCATCTCAGGGGAAGCTCTCCCGTCGCCCGAAGCCGATTGTACTATCCCTTCAAACCACTTCAGCCTTAATTGATGAACAATGCAACCTGCACGATCACGTGTCCAGCAGCTGGCAAGCCCGAAGGCCGATGTGTGCAGAATTCTTGTCCTCTGACGACCGTTTTGGGGAGGGTCACGCTAATCCGGCTTGAGGTGTCCCGTCAATAGCACTCCGTTTATTGTCAACGTTTTAGGTTACAATAAGTAGCAGTCAGTATGTTCCTGAAGGTATGAAGCAGGCCATGTCGCGTCCGCGCAAGCGATTCCTCGTGTCTGCCTTTATTACTGCGGGGGGTCATTTTTCTGCTCCGCCAAAGGCTGAAACGCATACTTTGTCACGACTAGGGTCGTCTGGACACATTCCTCTTTCGAATCCACCAAACGATTTCGAAAAATCAGAAGTTGAACCCGATTTACAAGAGCAGAAGGCTCGACGTCCAGCTACTTCCACAAGCGACGGAGCAGGCGAGAATCGAGATGGTCCTATTATGACGTAGTGGCGCGTCACGCGTGGCTAGCCAACGGCGTGCTGCTGCGGCGATCGCTTCCGATTTCTCCGCTTTTTTTCGCGTTTAGGGATTATTTTGGGTCAAACGGTTGCGATATTTGGACTTAGCAGGCACAAACACGTCAAAATCAACCATTAACTCATTTTTTTCGAAAAGCTCTTTAGCTTCCCTTTAAAAACGGCCTCAGCAGAGCAGTGCAGGGGTCCTATTTGAATAGGCCAACGAATAGACCGCTACGGAGCAAATGCTCACAGAGATTCCAGCATACGGAACACTTCGGTATGCTCTATGTCTCGTGCCCTGTAATCTTACACATTTCAGCTGACGTGCAATAAAGTGGATATAAATTAGGAAACAAATTGCAAAACAAATCATAAAACGCCATTCTTTCTGCCGCTCCGTCCGGCTCTCTTTACCTTTTGCTGCCATGCTTCTTTCTTTCGGGAAGACATAATATTTGAGGCCTTTTTGCCTAGTGCTATTATTAGAGCTCTGTAGCATACAACAGGTGAAGCCACGCATTGAAAACAATGAGCGAACACCCGGCTAAGTCTCGTGCTGACCCGAAAATTTCCAAACGCCGGGTGTACAATGCGTATTGACGCGGCCGGAAAACTGGGGAGAACTACAGGTACCAGAATGCACAGTGGCAGCGGTGGCGTCGCGCAACTCCTGGTGAGATCGGTCTATTGCCAAACGTTCTACGGCTACACGAATGGTGACGCCAGTGTGTCCTCTCGTCGTTGGAGATTTTAAGAGGTTTTAAAGGAATACCAACAAAATTTCGCCGCTTATTTTATGGTTTATTCATGTTCAAGGGAGCAATACGACATCAGACACACCAATCTCTTGGTAAAAAAACTCGAAAAGGAATTTTAAAACGAACTAAAAAATCAGCAAAGAGTACCTGGTGGACGTCACTAATGCCTCGTTTGAAATGCCCATCTAGGAACATTGACAGGTAGAGAAAATAACTGTCTTGCTTCAGGCAACCACGAGAAAAGAGGGCAAGGAGAAACTCCCCTCTCTCCGAGACTCTCTTTTGTGTGTCCCAGACGTCGCTGTTGCTACAAGATTATAGAAGATTAACCCGTCACTCCAAATTCGTACAAAAGCAGCTTTGGGGTTATAGTTGCGGTGGCCCGATCGCTGGTGGCTGGAACGGCTATGACATCCTCTCGACATCAGCTTCGCCACAGCTTTGCTCATCCAGGAACAAACAACGTCACGATTTCGGCGGATGTCACGTGCTCTCTGCTGGCTGCTCTCCGAGCGCTTGCCAGAGTGAGCCGTTTATAACGAAGAATACAGCCATCAGGCTCAAAATGCAAACGTGCGATTGTCATTTACGGATATTGTAGATCATATTCAGCCTATTCCTGAACATGACAGGTATAACTCAAATTTCGTTGAAGTATCCCTTTAAAGGGGAACTCCGGCGATATTTTGAGCAACCCCAACTAACCATATATTCGAAATTGCCGTCCGTTACTCTTTTCGGTATGCTATTTAGTATCGCGAAATTCAGAATAGTTTTTGTGAAATCGGCAAATGAAAACGACGCCAAAACGAAGATTCGAATATACCCGCGCTTTTTATTGCCCTGACGTCACGGTTGGGCTGGATTGCGGTTCAAGCAGGCAGTCTAAATATGAACTATGCCGAGCATTTGTATCGTGCTGCTGCGCGGGAGCTGGAGCAACCTTCCAAAGCATTCATTTGACACCATGAAACTGTTTGTAATCAGATGTGAACAAAGTCTACAGCCCAAAGAGTGAACTCCTACCCAACCATGACGTCACTTTTTCAATGTTGCCCGTAGAGCTTTTCACTTTGAAAAACACGAGGAGGTTCAAAATTGTAAATTCTGTAACTGCACGAAAAAAAGGTATTTTGTCCAAATATTTGGGTTACTAGTTCAGCGATGTTTGTTGGTGTGTCTAGCAAGCTTTTAGGCAAATCGGGGACTATGAAGAAAGCGGCGGAGTACCCTTTCAAGACACACAGTTGTAAGCGGTTGCGAGTGTGTGAACCAGCCTTAGGAACTGACCAAAAGAAAAACGATCATGATCTCCGTGATTGAAGTTCTGTCATCAAAAAGCTTTAGAGTCAAACTCGTGCCAAGAGATTGGTTGGACCACACTTTGAAACAAACGCATACACAACCCTCGTATCTAATTTATGCATCTTGTTGTACCGACACCTCGAATGTACGGGCCTCGTATATCCTCCATTAGTCCGACACAGATGATATCAACGTTACTAAAACACACAGTTGGAAAACACCCTTGAAACCCGGACCGCTCGCATCCACCGAGACCAAACTAAATATGATAAGAGTGCCACCTTTAAATGACTAGTGAAAACACAAAAGTTCATTTATATTGCTCCTGCGAAATGGCACTGCAAAATGGCGCCACTGGCCCTTGCGCCACTCGACCTAAACCTGCAGATGTGCAGTTCCCAGAGTGGCCGCTGCGGGAGAAATGGTGGCTTTGCGATTACCATTAGTTCAGTTCTCGAGTACGGATTAAAGCCACTTTTTCAAAGCAGGCTCTATGGCAGTTTCCCAACTGAGTTGTTCTAGTAACGTGCCATTTCTGTGTTAGGTGTTAGCTTGCACCACTTTAAACAAGCGGTTTTCAAACTGGGTTCCCCAGAGCACCTTCCCCGAGCTCTGAAAATTTCTTGGCCGCCCCTGCCACTATGCATGCATTTTTCCAATTTAAGCGTTACATTAGTACATCTTAGCTACCCACTGATGCATACTGCTTGTTGAAGGTTCCCTGATCCTCTTGCCCTTTTCGTAAAAATGATCTTACAACCCTACCTGAAAGAGTTGGTCCTCCAAGGCAGGCCCGAAGATGCCACCTGGCAGCTTGCGCAAGAACTTCTTCAGCACCGATGCTATCGTGTAGACTGAGAAGTGGTCCAAGTTCACTAGCCTCCCCTGATGAAGGAAGTGCACCAGCTTCTTCATGTTGCCCTGGAAAGGGAAAGACACTTTGGCACTCTCACCCTTTTTAAGACCACTCTTGGTATGTTCCACGCTCAAGTAGGCCAGCTTAGCACATGTATCTGGCACTCTCTGCTTATATAGGGTGGTTCAAGTCACCAGGCTCGATCTAAAATGGACCGTAAAAATCTACGCCTGCACGTAACAATCTAAACTTTTCGTCAAAGAATTCACAGGTCGGTTTTTTCTTGTAAAATTACAAAGCGTAGCTCTCTTCCTGTAAAACATAGGGCCAAACAAAATTGCCAGGGTCTACGGCAGCCAGCAACGCAAACGACAGGGGTCCAGTAGCGGGCTGTGTTTGGCGTTCGCATTGATAGATGACGCTACCTCCTTATCGCGACGACTCGCGACCACCGTGGTTTATAAAAATAAATATAATCTTTTCGAAATGTACTTTCGGTTAAAAAATAAATGCGAACAATAAAAGCAAAACTTAAAGTAAAAACAAAATGTGTCTGCATTACGGCAGCGCTTTTGCTGCCAACGGATTTCGTCTGCGTGTTGTCTGCTATCTTTCGCTGGTCAGCTGCACCTTCAGACACTGCTCCCGACGCCATCTATCAATACGAACGCTAAACATACCCCGCTACTGGACCCTGTCGTGTGAATCGCCGCCTACCGTAGACCCTGGAAGGTTTCTTGGCTCGATTTTTTACTAAAAGAGATCTACGCTTTGTAATTTTACAAGAAAAAACCGACCTGTGAAGTACACCTTTGACGAAAAGTTTATGTGGCTACGTGCAGGCGTCGATTTTTACGGTCCATTTTAGATCGAGCGTGGTGACTTGGACCACCCTACCGGGTGATTCAAGGAGACGGCAGGCTCTTTAAATTGACCAGAAAATTCAGTTTCTTAACCTATCGCGCTACGATTTTGTGCAGCGTTGCCCACAGATGGTGCATTTTTTTTGTAAAATTTGCAAAGAGCACACTTACCTGAGGAAAAGTAAAGAAAGAAAAAGGCTTAGCTCCTATGGAAACGCAGTGACGCCACCGGTCTTCAAACAACACGGCGCCGTTTCGCACGGGAGACAAGAGATGGCGGAAGCGGTCGCAACGCCAACTGCCGCCAACGAACGAGCAGACGACGCCGAGAGCCGGCGTATTTAGCAGACAAGGAACTGCAGTTCCTTGTTGTTACGGCGCCTGTTTTTGTTTCTGCGACTGTCGCCGCCCGCGGAACGCACTCCACTTTTGAGTTGAAAAGATTGTCTGCTAAAGACGCTGGCTCTTGGCGCCGTATGCTCGTTCGTTGGTGGCGTTCGTTGCGCCGTCTCTTGTGTCCCGTGCGAAACGGCGCCGTGTTGTTTGAAGACCGGTGGCATCACTGCGTTTCCATAGGAGCTAAGCCTTTTTCTTTCTTTACTTTTTCCTCAGGTAAATACACTCTGCAAATTTTTAAAAAAAAAAGCACCTTCTGTAGGCAACGCTGCACAAAGCCGTAGCGCGATAGGTTAGGAAACTGAATTTTCCGGTCGATTTACAGAGCCTGCCGTCCCCTTGAATCACCCGGTATATATACTTCGTGGCCTGCAGATATGTGGTTGTCTGTAATGCATGCATCCGTGGTATGTGCCCTGTACTTGTAAAGGCAGGTGTCGCAATAGTGGTGCCACATGTAGGTGCTGTGCTGATTACAGCACTTGTCACAGTCTGTCAAATATGACGACATTGTGTGTCTTTGCACACTGGAAAGCACGCTGTTGAATCACCAGGCACGGCAATGTGCAAACAAGCATGCTCTTCCTGCTGGGCAGAGCTGGCAGGGATGCTGCTCAGCCAATATTACTTAGAAGGCATGGCCTGAACACGCCAAAGCTCAACGAGAGTCGGTGCAAAGCGGCAAATGCGTCCATCTTGGCGTCGTGCGCGTTGTGAGACGCTGCGAGACGAGCTGGGCAAGCTAGGCGGCGCTGCGTTGGCTCCACTAGTAATGACGTTTGGGGGGAAAAGGTGGCATTGGCTCAGCACGCACCTGATGTCCTGGCGCACGGAAGACGTCTTTCTTAGTGGGTGCCTCCTTGTTCAGCTTGAGCACGAGCACGAGCAGCGGCGCCGGCAAGTCCTGTCCCGCGGTGCACACTTGCTCCAGAGGCACGCCAAACTTGACCTTCTCCAGGCGCATTGGGTAGGGTGCCGCGCCGCCGCACGATGCCACCGCCTGGCCCAGGCTGGTAGCGCCCCGATGTACCCGGCGGGCCCACGCCGACATCCCTGCAACGTCGGCGGCAGCTCTTGAGCCAAAGCGTCCAAGGCCGACAGGTTCCCGATTCCAGCGGTCTAAGACCTGTTTCTCTCGACCAGGGGTTCCCACCAAAAGAGGCGCCTCTAACATCCATATGACACGACCAATTAACGCTGACATGAAGCAGTGTCCTAGCATCACATTGTGCACGATTTATGGACACAGATCAGCGTCTGTCAGGCTCCCTCAGCATCTGCCCACGGGGGCTAACAGAGAGTTTGAAAGGATATACAACTCACAGCAGAAATGCAACCTACCGTAGAATACCGTGCATCCACCCATACCACACTAAGCGCCCATACCCGAATTTGTAAGATCTGAGAATATGTGCACAGTACATTGATATATAAAATTGATGACCGGACAAGCGCCCATCCCCCATTTTTTCACGAGTATCTCTAAATATTGAGTGGGCGCTTGCCCGGTATTTTAAGGTAAACATATTCCGTTTTGCCCCCCAATGGGCGCTGCTCATAACTTGAGCTACAGGACTATGGCAAACAAGAATGAAGCATAGGGTGCATTGGGGTCTGAGGTGTCGGAACTATTCAGGAGATTGGGGGAAGGGGAGCAAGATTTTCCTTCACCTCCTCATCACTTACATAAAATTTGATATTTGTGAGGGGGTGGGAGGGGGGGTGGTTGTAAAATCCTGCCTGCCTGCCTGCTCTGCACTGATCTACTCTCTCCTCTCTGCCCTGCCCCCCCCCCCCCCCCCCCCCTCCCCCACTCCTCCCCCCCCTGTTCCGACGCCACTGATCGTAAAACTGCGGGGCGTCCGCGTCAACGCTGCAGCGTCGATTATGTTGGCAAGCGTATCGATGCCAACAACGGGACCGAGCCAAACGACGACGCTAAATTCGCACAAAAATGCTTTGCATGCAGAAACGCGCGAGCGTCGACGCTCTAGTTTTCAGCGTCCAAGCAGACCACTGCGTTGCCGTCGTCTGCTAATGCTGGTAAAGTGACCGCTCTGACCCTCACGCGTGCAGTTTTGATTCCCATGCGCTTCCCACAAAAAGGACGAACTCACCAGTGTCGGGCAGGCGCTCAGGGCGGCCGACGCATCGCGGCCTCTGCGCCTGAAGACGGCTCGGCGACAGTTTCTCGCGGGTTCTGGACCGCGCTTATGATAAGCGAAGTCGGGATGTGCCGACGGCACGCTGGCTGCAGACGAGAACGCGTCGTGCTGTTGACTTGTGACGCCGACGGTCCCAACGGTCGCGCCCGCTGGCTGTGCAGCGCGCGTCGGCTCAAGGTGCCGCGAACCATGGCTGCCGCTCTGGGTCTGCACTGCTGCAGCGTCGAAGGATCGGTGCCGCCATCGCGGGGCTGGTGTGTCGGATCTTCGGGATGCCGGGTTTCCTGCCGAGTGGCCAGGCAAGGCCGGTGGCTGGCAGCGCGGGTTCAACGTGCGACGACGGGGTTGCGAGGGACGCGCTGGTGCCCTACCGAAGCACGGCCATCGGGCATGGGACGACACACACGTGACCTCGCCAACGTCGCGCAGGGCGCAGCAGGGAGGAGCCAAAAGCAACACAGCAATAAAAAAATAGAAAAAGCGCGCGTTGCCGCGCTGGGAGGCATGCTTGATGAAGGCATCGGGTAAAATATTTTTCTTTTGTTCACTAATGCTCCAAATGAACCTTTTTTTTTTTTAACGTTTCACAAAAACTTTTATTTGTATTTTTTTGGTGACATAACCAATCAGACAAGTCAGAAGATCAATTAAGCGCTTTGAGATGCAACCGCATTATTAAATAAGTCAAAATAAGAAGAAAAAAGTTTTGTTCATTGACCAGAGTTCAGATCACATGCTCCCTTGCAATTTCAAAAGCTGCTGCTAGTAAATTCTTCACAAGTCATGTCAATAGAATGTATTTGCTGGCCTCCACAGCCAAGTTGTTTTTTGCAAGCACAATGTTTCTCACTTACAAGTTAATAAATGCAAACATGCACTCGGCATAAACAGACAGAGCTGCAGCCACCAGTAAGTACCTCTCCTCCCATGACGAGACCAACGGACACACCTGGGAATGGCTGGAACCATTTCAGACACATAACATTATTTATTGTTCATACTCCGCTCAGTTGAGGTGGCATACGGAGCCTCCTCAATCCGAAAAGTCAGGAACCAGGCTTTTGGGAAGTTCCTGCAACACTTGCACTCCCAAAAGGCGAAGCTCACACAGTTCGGTCGCATCCTCCTTGTCTTCCAGAGGTCCCGGCGGCGACTTCACGAAGCGACGCGCCTCAACTAAAAAGGCCCGCAGATCATCAGCGCACAGCTCCGTCGACGCCGTCTTCAATCCCAGCTTTAGCAGAAAGAGCCCCAACACGACCAAGTTAGCTCTGAGGACGGGCTGGAGCTGTCGAGTTGGCGAAACCACGGTCCGCACACAGAAGCCGAGCAGCTCCGGAAACGGAGCTGGAGCCAAAGCCACAAAATCCTGCTCCAGGACCACGACGTTGAGGAAGACGCCGCAGGCAGTCTCGAGCGCGACGCCTGAGGAGGCCTGTAGATGGTGCCACAGATTCAGAAGGATGGGCGATGCCAGGACCAGCGGCCGCAACTCGGGGTCAGCTGTCACATGGCATAGTCCGGGGACGAGTAGGGGGAGAAGGGACTGTTCTTCCTGGGATGCCAGGTGGAGGAGCGTCGGGAGGGCTTGGACCAGCTGGGGACGCAGGGAGCTGCAGTCCTGGGAAAGCCAGGAGCAGACGAGACGGCCAGAGGCCAGGACTAAGGGGTCTCTCTCACCATGGGGCACTTCTTCCTGGGGGCAGTTCTGCATTGAGCAAGAAGGGTGTTAAGGCTTAGGTGAAGACAGCGACATGACGTACACATTATAGACATCACAAGCTGGTATTGGTACGGGAGCTAAACGTAGCACTAGAGTAAGCATATGCTTTGCAACTTGATTCTCTAGGAGGAGTTGGGGAAGAGAGGTTCAGATAAAGTTTCAGCATTGGCAATTCTTTCTCTCTTGGGGCAAAACAATTTGGGCTCCTGGTAACAAAATTATCAGACCGATCTTGCTAAGCATTCGGCGTATCCGTGACGCAGCCCTTAATTTATTTTACAAGATGTAGACGACTGTGCATGCGAGGGCTCATGCCGTCACATGCTCCACACATGCAGAGCTCCAGCGGGGTCGTCACACGTGTAGAAAGACTAAACTTCCCAAGATGCATTGTGGCAGCGGTGGCATAGTCCAACTGGCTGGTGACATCGGCCTATTGTGGATGGAACCTGATCAAATTTGTGGTAGCTACATTTGGTACTCTCATACCAGTAACATAGCCCGAAACCTTTTCCCAGCGAGGTGGGGAAAGCTTCAGTTCCATAAGCCCCCCCCCACCGACCACCGCTTGGAACATACACCGCATGTGGGGAACCCTAAAAAGGTATCTTGGTCAAGTGACGTCGCCCGTGCTTTTAAGAAACTGCATTTTGAGCTAGGCCGTGAAACCAGAACCTTAAGCTATATAGAAACGTCAGGAAAGACCACAGACACCAATATCGCCCACGACGTATCATACCTGTCGTACGAAGCCTAGGACTGCTGCCAGGGCGTCTTCCACTCGTCCTCTGAGCTGCAAGAGTCTCTTGCTTGTCAGGTCGTGAGCTCCTTCGAGAGCAGCCTCCAGCAACAAGAAGCATCGTAACAGCAAAGCCACGTCCGGCTTGCCGAACTCCAGCTGAACCCGCACTTCGACCGCGGCCAGGGAGACGGCTAGGGCCCACGGTTCGTCGTCGGGGGTTAAAGCCCACGACGTCCCAACACGAGAAACCAACGCTGCGAGAAGTTCGAAGACGTCAGACCGCATCTTCGAGCCAAGCCGGCTTCCTAGAGCTTGCCGTAGTCCCGCACGTAGGTCCGAAGACGCCGACGTGACGGCGTCGTCCGCTAAGTCATCGCGCGCCAAAAGCGCCGCTAGTAGACGACACACCGCGAACTTAGCTTCTCCGCCGTCTTTTTGGAATGCCGACGCCGCGCTTTTGAAAAGGGAAGACGGAGTCCTAAGCCTAACGTCGGGATTGCCAGCCAACGATGTGAGGAGGCGGACTCCGTCTGGTTTCGCCAAGAAGGCACTGAGTTTCGAGTCCAGCCCGACAGACATGAGCGCTCGGCGCCCGGATTGGTGTTCCGCGAACCTGGTTGCGCACGCGATGGCCTGACTAGAGAGTTCATCGTCATCGCTGGACACAAGTTCGTCGAGAGGCTCGATCGTAGGAGCCAGAACGTCAGAGAGTTTTTCGTCAGACGCGAACACACCAAGTAGTTCCAGCCCCAGCGAGCGAAAGAGCTCAGGCGGACATCCTTCGGGGGCTTCGTTCGTTCTCAGTAATCTCAAGAGGAAAGGCACTCCGACGGCGTTCAAGATCTTGGTGAGGTCGTCCGAGTTTAGGCTTTCGGCACTCACGGCTTTTGTGAGCACCATCAGTGCAGCGAACCTTTCCGTGTCGGAGCGAGCTCGACGGAGAGCGGAGACCGTCGCTTTCAGGGCGGTCGATCCGCCCTTCATTTTGTCGTCTTGAGTGGTTGGAACGCGATCGACGTTGGACATAATGGAGCCGTCCTTGGTGTCGTTAATTAGTTAATTAAACCAAACAGCAAGCAATTTACATGACGAAAGAAAACACTTCTACATGAATTCACACGTCGATACTGTCGATACCTTCCAGTGACCCTTGCGCACATGTGAAAGGACGCTCAACAGAACCGCAGTAAATTTGCATAATAAAATTAGAACACCTTAAACAATTTATAATGATATATTTATAAAAACACATATGTGCATTTATTTTATATGTATAAACAAACATATTTTTATTATTTCGAACACGCACAATATTTTTAATTTGCTGCGACCCTTTCGTTTTTTTTTCTAAAATATATTTCTATCTTGTGTACTTAAAACACTAACTAATAAAATATACTTAAATTTTGAACGAACTTATTTGTTTAATTAATTTAATATTTTCTTGAATCAAAACTGTTTGCTCAGTTTATTAATTCGCTGCCGTCCTAGCATCTCTGTTATATGGCGGGTTCTTCGGGTCGTTCTGAAAGTTGACCGTGTCCCGACATGTCTTCGAACGACGTGCCCGTTCAACCGAAAATCATCGTACCGGTGCGCGCGTGACAGTTCGGACTCATATTTACACTGTAGTTGCGACAAACGACAAAAGGTATTGAAGAAACCATACTTCGAATCGAACTCCCAAACCGAACGCGTCTCCTCGGCATTCCGTTCGGCGGGAACTTCGGCTGCCGGCCACGATGACGGAGGTCGCACAGGAAGAAGTCTTAGACGAGAATTACGGTCCTGTTCGGATCCAAAAGCTCGAAGGCAACGGAATCGGAGCGGCGGACATCAAAAAACTAGAAGAGGCCGGTTTCCACACGGTCGAGGCCGTCGCGTACGCGCCCAAGAAGCAGCTGCTGACCATCAAGGGTGAGACCTCCATAACTTCGCTGAAAGTACCTGGTTAAATCAACGTAAGAAGTTAAACCCTGTTTTTCGGCCCACTTAAATAAATTATGCATAGCGGAAAGCTGCAACCCGGTGGGGGTAAAAATGCTAGTTTCAGAACGTAACTTTACGGGGATCAAAAGGGAAAGCCTAAATACGAAATTACTTTATGGGGGACGTCGGCCGAGGCCGAATATTCATCGAACCAAGAAATAGCGTTAAAACCTCCTATAACAAATATTAAAGAAAAAACAAAAAAGCTTGCCATCGAGAAAAAGCAATTTTGTTTTCCCTCTTGCTGACAAGTGGTTTTCATAAATGCCACGGGCACCCACAATGCGGTTTCTTGGTTTGACGAATATTCGGCCTAGGCGGAGCTCATAGCGAAATTTCTTATTTATGTTTTTATCTTTTGACCCAGGTAAGCTCGTCGCTAGCGTCACATTTCCATCGAGTTTCAGCTATCTGCGATGCATAGTTTATGAGGGTTGATAAACTGGGTTTCATTCCCTTGATCGGACCTTGTAGTTCTGTGCACTTCACTATTATTTTACAACCTTGACCTCCCTATCCTTTCTCCAAAGGCATCAGCGAGGCAAAGGCTGACAAATTGCTCGCCGAGGCGGCCAAGTTGGTTCCTCTGGGCTTCACCACGGCCACGGAGATTCACCAGAAACGCTCGGACATCGTCCAGATCACCACGGGGTCGACGGAGTTAGACAAGTTGCTCGGCGGAGGCATCGAAACTGGTTCTATCACCGAGGTGAGAAGCATGCGCTTTGCATCATTTTGTTGGCACGCAGTTCACCTGCAAGCGCGAGACCTTTGTCGATGGCGGCGTTAGCTGGCAGACGTCGCTGGACAAGCTTGTCATCGGATGACTTTTTGTTGAAAGTTGTGGTGTGTATTTCTCTAACACCGGTTTTATGCGATTCAGAGATATTCATCTTGAATTCAATCAGATCCCTGGCTTCACTCGCTGGTAGTTTACCACAGGAATCTCCTAACACTTTGGCTCGGGAGCCGGATTGTGGATCTGTCACAGCCTCGAGAGCCGAAAATAAACGAGTAAAGACAAATCAGTAAATACTAAATAAATACATTTAAATAAGCATTTAATTAGAAAAATATTACTTAGAGTGAACATACAACAAATGTAAGATGGGCAATACATTCTTAATACAAAGAAAACAAAACACAAACAGGCTTTGCAAAATAAGTGTGACCCAGAAAACTTATTAGGCATAAATCAGAGCACGTAGAAATTTTGGCATATTCAAAGAGAGCAGAAGACTAATGATAATGGTATATCTGCTGATTACAGTATACAATAGTTTGTGGGTTCCCCCACAAACTATCCATAGAAGCACAGCAGGTTTCTTGGGTTCGGATAATGATGTGGTTTATTGACGAATACGCCACATGTTTGCCCGAGGGCTAACGAAGTCCGAGATAATTAAGCTGTCTCTTTTGATAGGATTACCACTCGAAGTCTGCGCTGCCGCTATTGGCAGTATCGCGGAAGGGGGAGGGTCAGAACAAGAAAGGAAGGCTCTATCGAGCAAAGCCTTTCCCAGCAAGAATCACTGTTGGTTTTGGCCATCTTATATAGCCTGCAGGAATGGATGCATCCGGGATGGTCGGAAGTAGGTTGACTCCGCGGAGGGGCGGATGCGTCCGAGCATAAAAATTCCGAATGGTGCGCCTTAGGCAAATCACCTGAGAAGGGCAAGGTAGAGCCCTCTACAAGAGAATACGGTTTTGCCTCGCATCCAAGACTTGCCCCGACAGGGCAACGCCCCAAGGCCTGCCTGAGCTAGGCCTAGATGGGTGTGCAGGGAACACGTGGTTCCTGCAAGCTATGACATAAGACTGAGCTCGATATAAGGATAACGCAAAGAAATTTTAACATAGACAGGCATGAGACAGGAGATTGTGAATGGTAATGCTGGTGAGGACAATTTAGAATAAATGATGGGCAGGCGAACCTGCGTTTTGATGCAGTTTTCTCATTCTTATATCTTTGTTTGCGCTTTTGATATGCCTCTTGGTGCCATTTTTTTATGCGTGTATATTTTTGAGTTGCTAGCCATGGGCTGGACATCATTGGAGTGACCGCAGGGATCTGCGGGCCAGGGTTTGGAGACCCCTGGTCTACCACATAGGTATCTACTTTTCCTAGTGGCAATAGAATGTAGCAAACAAACCAGTTTGGAAAGTCAGCAGCACTCTTAGTACGGGACACTTTCACATCCTTTTAATCTAGCATGTTAGCTATCTGTCTTAACTGATCAGCTAATGCCTTGTCTGGTTCAAATTTCCCTCTGTAATTTAGATCTTCCTCTGAACACGAGCCCCAACCGAATGCTGGCGCATCATTCGGCTGAGTTAGCTGAGCGCTGCCTCAAAAACACAAACAAATAATTTGTGTTTGTTGTCCCTCATGGGTCTAGTTCTCAGCTTTACCACCAGGGGCACAACGGTTGAATCCCCTCCCCAGTAGTTGATTTCCCACCAATATAGAAGAGTGTCAGGCTAGTTTTTTCTCAACCACAACTCGCCCGGTCACTTTACTCAAAGTTATGATTCGTGGAGTTTCAGATGAATTTTCCAGGTCGGCAAATCATCAACACCAGGGGTGGATTTATGAATCAGGCAAAATCGAGTGCAAATCGGTTAAAAATAAGGAGTGGGCTAATTTTCGGTGTATACAACCAAGAAATGCTAAAAAATAAGGAAACACTATCTTTAGATTATGCTCTCCTGCTAAACTTGTTATCATGGCGAGGGACAATAAAGCAAAGATGACTGTAGTTCCCAGTCGGCAACGTTCGCTTATATCTCGCCATAGCTACCTGTCCGCATTCACGCCTAGGTCATCATTGATCCGAACGCTACGATTACTAGGAGTGGGCTATCTTTCTATGTTTTAAAGAAAATAGCAAATCACGTTACAAAAGGGGTTTTGAGTTTTTTTTGGATAAATTTGAATTTATGGAATATGTACCGGCGAGCATTTTTATAATTTATCCGAGGACACGGAACCCTACTTATAACTTTTTAATAAGAGTACAGTTAGTGCCGAAACTTTAGCTCCTGGTTCGGACCGCTAGCAGTACATTTAGGCGGAGAATGAGCAATCGGCGATGCATAGTTAATTTTTGCAATGAAAAAAACCTCGTAAATTTTTTTCAGGGGACACCTTGTTCTTTCGGTTACGCTTTTGGATAGCCTGCGCTCGTAAATAGAATATGGTAGCGTGCACCAAGTGTAGCCGGTTCAGGTAAATGGAAGGGGCCCACCAAGGGGACATGCCGGGCGCAGGTTTTTGGGGAGTTCCGGACAGGCAAGACGCAGCTGTGTCACATGATGGCGGTGACGTGCCAGCTGCCAATCGAGCACAGCGGGGGCGAGGGCAAGTGCCTGTACATCGACACGGAGGGCACCTTCCGCCCGGAGCGCCTGCTGGCCGCTGCCGAGAAGTACGGCCTCTCGGGGCCCGACGTGCTCGACAACGTGGCCTATGCCCGGGCCTACAACTCCGACCACCAGACCCAGTTGCTCATTCAGGTGCGGTGGACATGCCGAGTTCTCGCGCACATCACCACAGGCACCCAACTTCGTAGCTTTACCCAACTTTTAACTTTAGACTGGCTTCCCGCCATCTAAACTTTCTTAAATTACTTTCTGCTAGGCGTTTTTCACTTACGCAAGCATGGTCGTCGCGAGTGTTTTGTCGAAGGCTAGAATCGCCGCCAGCCTCAAACGGCAGCCAAGGAAACCCTTCCTGTCTTGGCATTGAGAGTGAAGCTGTGTAGGAATCCTACAGGCCTTGTAAAGAGTAATGCACATACTAGGGAGTGTATGGCTCATAGTTGCGCATCACTGGATAACTCTCATCTGCTTAAGCAGTGCTTGAAACTGGAAACGCGCTTCAATTAATAGGGAGGGTTTACGAAACTTGGGGGTTCGGGGGAACTGAGGATGTCACTTCGCGGAGCCCCCAGTTTCTAAGAACCCGGTTACAGAACCATTAATCTAAAGGACTCAAGATCAATGGGGAAATTGGCACCTAAATTGAGTTCTGTCCCGTAGGCTTCGGCCATGATGGCAGAGACCCGCTACGCGCTGCTGGTGGTGGACTCGGCCATGGCGCTGTACCGCACGGACTACTCCGGCAGGGGTGAGCTGAGTGCCAGGCAGATGCACCTGGCCCGGTTCTTGCGCATGCTCCTGCGGCTGGCAGACGAGTTCGGCGTGGCCGTGCTCATCACGAACCAGGTGGTGGCCCAGGTGGACGGGGCCTCCATGTTTGCAGCCGACCCCAAGAAGCCCATCGGCGGGAACATCATGGCACACGCGTCCACCACCCGCCTCTATCTGCGCAAGGGGCGCGGGGAGACTCGTATCTGCAAGATTTATGACTCACCGTGCCTGCCCGAGGCCGAGGCCATGTTTGCCATCACCCCTCAGGGTATTGCGGACGTCAGGGACTAGTCTTGTCTCGGGCCATCGCGGACGTCGGGGTCTGGTAACCCCTTGGCATTGCGGATGTCAGAGACTAGTCCGTTGTGCTCCAATGTTGTGCTGAAACTGACTGTTGGGGGGAGGCTTTCGATTGAATGGATTGTTCTGCATTGACTGCCCGGTCAAATAAAAACTGTCTATTTGGCATGCACTGTCGTCGACCTAGCATGATTACGGCAAAATCGAGATCTCCATCTGTCGAGGTCTCAGGGTTGTGTCTTTTTGGATTTGATGAATTGTTCTTGAATTGGCTGTAGACTATAATGGAAATGGTGGTGCTTGTAGGGCACGAGCGAGGGAAAGCGGACAAGCTGGCATCGATCTAGTATGTTGGCTCGAGACTGAAGATGGCGGCAAGCTAGATCTCAGTCTCGTGGTCTCTGGGTAGAGGCAAGGTCTCAATCTCTCTATCCTTTTCTGGCGTTTTTGGTGTCATCTGTGGTTGTTGTCAACCACAGAAAATGCATTTTCTCTCACATGCTTGTTTTTCTTCTATTTCCCGTCATGGAAAAAGGGGCAAAAAGCTGAAGCATACTTCCCCTGTCTGTTTTTCTTTTATATTTTTTATGCTACTCCTGGGCTGAATATGTTACTCTTCTACATGCCTACCTAAATACCCTTCACTTCTGCAACCTGGTATTTGCTTTAGGACGCGATCGTGCCCCGCTAGACGATGCACAATTGTCTACATTCAGTCTTGTAGTTCCATAGGGCCTTGGCGAAACCTGCGGGTACATGTACAGGCTCACATTGTGTGTGGCATTGCTATCTCCTACCATACCGAGACCACCGGATTTCCTGTCGTCCCCTATTTCTTTTATCCACCGTGATATTTGTTCCCCACATGCCTTCCCCATTTCTTCCCAGTTGGTGTCTACACCCTAAGTTTGATTTATCTGTCTCATCAGAAAAAAAGGTTGGTAGTAACTGAAGTTCTGAAGGTATTAACTGAAGCTTTTATTCAGTCAAGCGCAGTGCCACTCCATTCAAGTTCTGCAGGTATTAACTGAACCTTTTATTCAATCAAGCACAGTGCCAGTTCATTCCTATAATATTTTTGCAGGATGTGAATTCCTTTGGAGATTGATTTTCAATGAGTATATAATTGTATGTTCAGAGAACGTGTCTGAATAAACTTATATTTTTAACTCATCAATTATGCTTTCGGTTATCTTTACGCTTGAGCGTCTCTGTCTGGTACATATTTGAAGAGGTGGTACTCGACTAAGTTTCGCGCCGGCCACTAACAGCACCACACGCTCACTTGATGCCGTGATTGGCCGGTACCTTCCCATCTTTCCAACACATTCAACTACATGCCACCATGTTTGAGCCCACAGCACCACGCACACTGATTTGATGCCATGATCAGCTGGCACCACCAATCTCTGGCAATTGCTGGATAGCACCTCCTACTACTGTGAGTACTCCTACCCCGTGAATGGGACGGGACGCCTCTTTTCTACGCCGGTAGGGGGCAGTCGCGTGATAACGGAGGTCACATGACGAAACGCAATCACCGACACAGATGCGCAAGTCACCTGACATTCGCAGAGCTTAAATTGTTTAGCAGATGACCCGACACCAGAGAAATATGACAAACATCATGATCATGCACTTTTGATGCTGATTGGTCCGAAGTATTTGGTAGTGATGGGCCGAACTTTTGCCGAATCTCGGGATTCGGCGAAGCCGAACTTTTCTGAAGATTATCGGCAAAAATACATACAAAATACAATACAAAAATACATGAAGGTTTCATGATGATGTTTCCCGAATGGGAGACGAAACGTTTGATTAAATTGTTAATCTTGTTAAAGGGGTAGGGAAACAAAATTTCAGCGCTCATTTTTTAGCTTTAATGTGTTGCGTGTTGCACCCTAACCTCAAAAACACCAGTCTTCCGCACAAGAAAACAAATTGTAAAGCTAAATAAACGATCTTTCAATGTGCACCTGGTGGATGCATGCGGAGCCTATTTGGGAGTTAGTCTAGCAACGTTGTCGAATCTGCTACGTAGCCGTGACGCGCTCACGTCGAACCAACGAACGTTACATCCAAATTAAGACTGATGAACTCGGGTGCAAAGTGCCATTTGTTTTGGATTTTTACTTTAGAACAGTTATTGCCACAGAAGGCAGTACGCGCAGCGCGTGTAACTATACTCTCGCGCGTTCCTTGGGCTTGGGTAGTTTAGCAAAAAAAAAAAAACTTGCTTACCCTGCTACGTCCTGCTACATTTTACGAAAATTCGAGGAACTTGAGCCAACATTGCCCCAAAATGTAATTTCACTTTCCTAATACTGACAGTATAATAGCTCGCTCCTGACTACCCGACCGGATCGTTGCGATAGGCTTGGGCGAGTTTCCAGAGCTTTCGATTGTCGCCTCATATAACATATACTTTTCGATTTGATTTCTTATCAAACACTGACAGTACTCGGAAATTCCGCAGTGATTCTCATCTTCGTGGTCTTGGTGGGTTAGCTAGCTAGTTTCGTTGAGGATGCTTCTCACCGCGCGCCGGTGTACTGCAGTGAAGCGACAACCAGGAAATTGCGATTTTGCGTGTCTTGCTCCGCCGCAGCGCACCCACGTGCTAAGGGGAAAGCAATTCTCCAGAACGAAACGTGACACAATTTCTGAATAAAACTTCGGCGACATCCTGGTGGTATATTTTTCCAATTCAAGATTTTACAGGGATACTTCGGTATTGCAAAAGGATTTACATGCACGCCTCTGTAGGTTTTTTTTTTTTTTTAGGCCAGCTTTTGTTTATTTATCAATTAGAACTTGGCAGGAGCCGTGAATATGGAAGCTTGCGAAGAACTTTGACGAGTTTGGCGGGATTGTTATATTAATCGTTCACATGACAATTTTGTTATAAGTTCTACATAGAAAACGTAATGGACGTTCATAATCAAATGACGAAAGCTTTGTTGTTTGTGGTGTTTTTGTTAATTTTATCTGAATGACCGAAGCATTCCAGCTTTGTTGCAACCGAGTCTAGAACTTTGGGAAAACATACATTTAATGCTCGAAATTTTGTGTATTCTAACATTATTTCTGTGGGGTTCCGTACCTAAAAGAACCATTCCCACCAGTTCGTGCTGTCCTTCATTAGTCATCTGTTAGCGTGTCTGGAGTCTGCATGGTGCATCACACGCAACGCTAGTTTTCTGTTTGAGCGCTTCTGTGCAATTGATACTAACGAAAGGTTGCACACAAGTGAGAAGTTGAAGTAGGCATTGCATTTTAGCTGGACAGGCCTGAACCTTAAACCTTTACAGTGGTATCTGCGAAGAATATGTCAAACTAGAGTGCCTTCGTGCTCGTGTGTCAAACCAATCCCATCACTGACAGTGTCAGTGATTTCCCTACACCCCCTCTTCGGGGGTGTACTCCCCCTCCCCCCCCCCCCCCCCCCCCCCTTTGTTTTTCCGAAGGCACCCATCTACTCTCAATGCCCCCCCCCCCTCCCTTTAATTTCAATTCCTGGGGAAACCCCTGGACAGTGTGACTATGGCTCCGACAGCATGGCTACGTTTATCAAATCTGAACGAAAAACTCGATGGTGTGTGTAACAATAGTACGGTAGAAGCTTGAAGCACTTCGTGTTCACAAAACAAACACAATCAAAGTTAACACTCTGACATTACTCATTCTTTCCGTCGATGAAAGCAGAATAATACGACCAAATTAAGGACTTCGATTCTACTAAAACTTTATTTGATTATAGCGCCCGCTTGGCCAATCGTGGTTGCTTCTGTCTAAAATAAATTGCATGCCCTATTTTTCGGAAAAAAGGGAGGTAGTTTTTTTGTTTCTTTTAAATACTGTACACGCCTGTTTTCTATTATTATTTTGAAATGGCACGACCTACGCGCGACACAAGTGTACAAGACGATAGCGACACCGTAAAAATGGTTTTAAAGTTGACTTATTTTGGAAGTAAATAGTTCAGAGAATCGCCCCGACAAAGGGGCACAGCCAAAATGTGAAAACTGCGTCGTGGTGGAAGCTCCCGCCAATAGACCCTTTCCGAAATTCAGTCTGGCCACTTTGATCACTATCATCACCATCTGAAAAATGGCATATGTGCCATAACAATGGCGGCTTTCTATTTACTGGTGAAGGAACATGTTGAAGATACTCCTAAGCTGAGGATTCGAGGCCTATACATTCTAGACGTTAGCACGTTGCGAAACCGGAATTGAATGCAAGCGCTGCGTAAGTGTTCATTTCTCCAATTCGAGCCCAGTGAACCTGTTAGTGGCACAAAATCGACTTCGAAACCCTTTGACTTTAGAACTTTATCAAGGCGTCTGTCTGGGTTGGCGCTTCGTTCTGACTGGTTGCATCGTTGTGGGAATCGACACTGGAAGATCCAGAAAAACCTGTATAGCGAAAAGTTTATTCTCGTCTGCCGTTGACATGCAAAAGTGACGGTGCCCGATAAAATACTGCAGGCTACAAGTTCATTGCCGCCATTCGTATGGCAAAAGTTAAACCGCCATTTCAGCCACCAGATGGCACTGAATTTCGGAAAGGGTCTATTAGAAAACAAGCTCATCTTAGCACTTTATGAAAATCTATAAGCTCGGCTAGATGGCGCAAGCTGCCGCCTAATTCAAACGTCAAAGCTCATTTTGATTCTCCCTTTAAATATTAAAATGTAAGCCCACTGTGAGTTCCCCTGAGCCCTTGTTGCCAGAACCCTCACGACGCCGCACCTTTAGTCACGGCACACGTGAGAAAAGTGGCGCCATTCGTTGTTGTGGAAATGTTCGAGACACGTGCTGCGCGCCACTTCTGGGAAGAACAAGGCATCTGAAATCTAGCTCAGTGCTGGCGCTGTGCCGCCATGATCTTCTCAAGAACTAAACGTTGCACGTGCCTCGTGCATCGACGCACCTTGCGCTACTTTTGAAACATGAAAGGGCACGTTGGCACGTTTAGCGTAACGCGCCGCCTACTAACGCGTCTTTTTTTTTTTTTTTTTTTTTTTATTAATGCGCACATTTTTCTTTGGGGGGCGGGGGGGGGGGGGGGCAGTTTGGTTTCTGTTGTTTTTTTGCTGGTAGTGCTTTCTTTTCAGGAACGTTATGTTTTTATTAATTTCTTTACTTTCGCGTTTTCGCGTTTAGGCTTGTCCTGGGCAGGCTCGTAAATCCGTTCGAATTCTGGGAAGATGGGCGAGTGGGGGGGACATACGATTTGCAGTAATAACTCTTTTATTTGAAATAAAAAATACATTCAGGCCTGGCTACCCTCTTCCACTGTATTTTTTTCCCCTCCTGCCCCATTTTTGTATTAAAAAGCATCGTGGTAAACTTCCACCAGATCGCCTGAACACTGAGGGGGATCGGTGGCCGAATGGTCCTGCCTGATTTTTTTCTCTTCTGCTGATGTAAAGTTATTGCCCTCTGTCTGCTGCAGGCACGGGAAAATATGTTTTAAAAAAAGTTAAGAAAGTGCCGGTACAACCTTCTGTCAAATCATTTTTTTTTTTTTTTTACTTTTTAATTCTATAGTGATACACTCCCTGTGAAACCCTGGCTGCAAGAAAGAGACATTTTTGTGCCCTGGTCAATTGATTGCCTCTTATGTAAAAAGCCGGAAACTATAGACCATATATCTCTTGACTGCTGGGACGCAGTATTTCATTGGGATATTCTGCAGCGTACTTTGAAAAAAATGTTTGCCAATAACAGCTCTCGGCATACGTTTCCTCACGACAGATAACGAGGAGGGCGTCCCCTACGACATGTTTATGGCGCTGAGTCTCCACAGAGTCCAGGATGGCTGTTCGACATGCCGACTGGGACGCTCGACCGGTCAGAGACTACTTTATTGAGAGCGTGTGTTATTTACGAGAAGTTATGAAGTCGCAGAGAATGGCTGTCTGTGCTAGACAAACTTGTTGATTTTAAACTATTTTAGGGTGTGATGTACTGGCAAATGGCGAATCGTCTGTGTAAGAGAGAGGTGTGTCTGAGAGCACCTGTGTCGTGTATCCAACAAGAAATAACGAAAAAACCGCGCATTTTAAAGAAAGAACTACCTGTAACCCCAACAGGGATACGTTTCCTGAGGGTGGATAATGATAATGAAGTTCCTTATGACATGATTATGTTGTTAGCGTTGTGCAGCATT